ACTCGCGATTAGAAAAAATCGTTTGCACTGTTGACGTCACAGAAGAAGAAGCGATGAACACAAAGGATGCAACCGACTGACCTATTAAAAATTTAATTGCTGGATTTGTACCGGCCGGCGGCCGGGTTTCGCACACGCCTCACCCCGCGTCGCGTCCCCCGATGCATTCTTTCTCTCACTGTTTACGTAACTAGCATAAGACTGTTTTGTACGTTTAAATTAGTGACCACACTGCTAAATATTTTCTTCGGGATGAAATATTTTATGTTGAAAATTTGACCTACACTTTTTTTCGCAAAAATGGGATCCTTAAATAATGTCTAGTGCCTAAAATAAATTTTGACGACAACAACGATTTCACGGTGTATACAAACAAGAGGAACCAACGCACAAAATTAGGACCACTGCGAGCGAGCGCAACTACGACGACGAAATTCGACAAAATTCATAAAATGCCTTCTTGTGTATTCCGAAAGTGCACAAATTACGACAAAAATGTAAATAAAGATAAAGGAATATCATGCCAGAGGCAAGTGTAGGTATGTTTTGTGCTGAAATGCATTAATAGATGTATGTACGATTACGAAACAAATATTTTGTGCGTAAAGTATATACATCACGCCTCTTCCTTAAAATATCATTGTCTGTGTCACTCTGGTTGTGCCGGCCAAAAAAAGTGTCCAAGCATAGCTCTCCCACGACTCTTAAACTTACTACTACTTACCTGCTTCTCTTGTCTCTATTTTCTATCTTTCTTTTGCTCCACCTGAAAACGTTAACATCCCTAAGGAGGGAGAGGCCTTAAAAAATAAGCCGAAACCCTTTGTAGTGTTACACATTGCGTCGACTTTAAATAAAATAATGAAACGGGAGGGAATATTGTTAAGGAAAAAAAATAAAATAAAGTCACAAAATACATTTATTTCTTTGTACGTTACATCATTTGGAAAGTAAACGATTAATCGCCTCATATATTTCTAACTTAAAAAATAAAATTCAGAGGCCGCTTATGCAGAGGTACCTATATAACAAGTTATATCTTTGGTCAATATACTAGGTCCAAGTACTACTAATATAATAATATCAAACTCGAAGGAGTTCATTTACACATAACATACCTAAAACCTAAGAATAACGATATTTAAAAAACGTTAACTTATAAACAATATAAAAAAATGTAATACTCTTTCAAAATTATGATAGGTTACTTCGCGCCAAAAAAAAACGGACGCCATTTTTTAATTTATGAGTTAGAGGCCCGGGCACACTTAGTGCAAGTGGTTTTTTGTGGGGTTCGTTTTGGATATCGTCTTTTTTACGTAACAATATTTTTAAGTCTAAACGAAATTGATGTTGTTTACTACATAGCGAGTATACCTCTTACATATCTATAGTTCTAAATTTATCATGTATATTGTTTTGTTAAATTCTTTAGGTTCTAAAGACGGTTCTCTTAGAACTCACCTATCTTGCTCAGTATTTTCGTTGGTCACTATGGAGCTCATGGTCCACAGATTTCACAGGAATGAAAATTTGCAAGAGATTTGTTACGTAGAGAAACTTACATCATCAGACAGATCACGTTATACCATTAAGTATCATACATCTATGAAACAACAAACTTACACGCTAAAACAATTTATGTATATACTTTTTTATGGTCTACAGATCTTTGGTTTTGGAAACATTTGGCTTAAAAATTATTTACTTAATCAATAATACATTAACAGTAATTTAGCGACAAAGCATGACCCGCAGTAACGTACGTTTCGATATTCAAATCTGACAATTCAACTGCTGCAAGACTTAATTATTTTTTAAATTTAATTCTGTTTTTTAACTGAAGTTTAAACAGGCAAATAAATTTAACACGATATGAGTGAGATCAACCCCGGAAAAAAAAAATGGGCTGGTCGAAAAATTTGGCCTAATCCATGGCAAAAAACCGGCCTCCTTTAATTTTTGGTTCGCGGGAAAAACCGCGGGAAACAATCCTGATTTTAATTTTTCGCTGCTTTCTATCACTCACAGTGCCCCTTAAAAGAGGGTGTTCACCTATTCCTGCACTCAACATAACCAATTATGTGCTGCATGGGAATCCGGGGTCCGATCTATAAATGTCCCCTTCAAGCGCCGATTCAACTATGCCAAGGCTGATTGGGAGTCGTTTACGCAATCGATCGATGACGCCCTGTTTCAATGTCCCACCAACCCCGCAAAACTACGACCAGTTTGTCGAGATTGTGTCAACTTATTCCCGAAGACACATCCCAAGGGGCTGCAGGACCTCCTACATTCCGGGGCTGTCAACAGATTCCAGTGAATTACTGACGCGATACGAAACACTGTTCCGATCCGATCCCTTTTCTGAGGCAACCACAATTGCTGGAGAATTGTTGCTATCTAAACTAGGCGAAATCAGACGAGAGAGGTGGACGAATACTGTTACTAGCATCGACATGACTCACAACAGTAAAAAGGCTTGGAGTACGATTCGAAAGCTGACCGGTGAGTCCCCTCAACCCGCACCGCCAAGCCAAGTCACCGCAAACCAGATAGCACATCAACTACTTGTTAATGGCAGACCAACACGCCGTTCCAGAAGGACCCCAAAAATCCAAAAAACGGGGCCCGCTCCCTGACGATTCAGTAAACCCTTCAAGGGTTGCTGAATTCTTTTACAGCGAAAAGGGCCCGCCTTAAGTCTGGTAAGCCTTGGAGTCGACGACATCTCAGCGAGAAATTAAAAAGTTTTGGGGCCCATTTTGCTGGTCGGGGGTGTTGCACTTTTAAACAACTGCCTAAAAAATTTTCAATACCCGTCTTGGAGAAATCAAAATCTTGCAAAACCAAAAAAGGGCGCAAACGACCTTTAAAAACCTTTCGCCCTATCTCTCTACTATGTCACACATATAAACTATTCGAGAGACTGCTGCTGAGCCGCCTTGTGGGCGTCATTGATCCAAAACTGATTCCCGAGCAAGCTGGCTTCAGACCCGTGAAGTCTTGCAGTAACCAGACTCTTAAAGTGGTACAACACATTGAGGATGGCTTCGAGAGAGGAATGGTCACTGGTGCTGTATTCGTGGACCTATCAGCTGCCTACGATACAGTCAACCTCAAGAGGCTGTTGTGGAAGGTGGAAACTTTGGTCAACGATCAAATTTCATCCTCATACTCCGAGAAACTTCTCCACAACCGCCGATTTCAGGTCCACCTTCTCTCGGAAAAAAGTCGTTGGAGAGCACAGAAAAAACGGCCTACCTCAAGGTAGTGTCTTGGCACCGCTTTTATTTAATATCTATACCAATGACCAACCATCCAGCCCACATACCTCCCGCTTCCTCTATGCAGACGACCTTGCCCTTACCTCCCAAGCCACCACCTTTGAAGAGGTTGAGGTGTCCTTGTCAAACGCTCTTGGTGACTTAGCCACTTACTACCACGCTAACTCACTCAAGCCCAATCCGAGCAAAACGCAGACGTGCATTTTTCCATCTTCGCAACAGAGAGGCGAGCCGCAAACTTAACATCGTTTGGGGTGGGGTATCCATAGAGCACAGCAACTTTCCAAAATATCTGGGTGTTACTCTGGACAGGTCTCTAACATTCGGCAAGAACTGCAATAACATTAAGCAGAAGGTGCCACTCTCGCAATAGTCTTTTGCGGCGACTAGTCTCTTCAAAGTGGGGTGCTTCGCCTGACGTCGTGCGGACTACTGGGTTGGCGCTATCTTTCTCTGCGGGTGAATTCGCATGTCCCGTGTGGGGTCGTTCAGCCCATGCAAAGTTAGTGGACACAGCACTGAATGAAACGTGCCGGATAATCACTGGCTGCCTCAAGCCGACCCCGGTACAGATGCTGTATCCACTGGCAAGGAAATCCTTTGTTTATGGTTTCATAAGCAATTACTTGAAAACTATAAAAACACAGAACCGTATTATAAATTATGTATATTGATAATGATAAGGTGTTTATCTAGAAGATTATTCTTTATAGTTTAACATCAACAAACCGGACAACAGGACAAAAGCACTGCAAAGAGGAGTACAACTTGAAGCAAACCCTGTACCAACTCATCTTGCCAGCTTTGTATAGTAGGGCAAAACCTCCTGTCTAAGGAGGGGCCTCTGTCCAGCCAGTGGACTACTAAAGGCCGTTGATGATGAAACGTGCAATAGTTGACATGGCCACTTTATAAATTAAATCATTTTTGTCCAACACGGTCCAATTGTGGTGTTATAATCTAAACATGTTTCTATAACACAGAATATGTAGGCGGTTAGATAAGTTGCCGGAGGTAAGATAATTATTATTTAGATATCTTTTATTTTATACTGTACCTTACTTGGTATGATTTTCATTGTATCGTTTCGGAAACTTGTTATTTTTATTGCTAAGTGTACCAATTCAAACAAAAATTTAATAAGGTGAAATTGGTCTGTATATATATTTCAAAATACAAACACTCAAAAGGCAAAATAAGAATTCACATAACAAACCACAAAAATGCCATTACAGGCGGAATATTCTTTTAACTAAAAAACTCTAGCCTAGCGTGTTCAGTCAGCTCCAGAATTATCTAACGACATCTACATATCCAAAACTAATTTATTGTACTGTACGCTGAGACTAAAATCTCGAATTGATATCTTATAAATTAGGAATAATAACAATATGATACTATTGTAAATAGGTATTACATTTTCAACATTGGTTTTTAGAACAAGACATAACACCGGTTTTTTGTGAGCCTGTGGTATCACTGCTAATATATTTATATATTTTATTGAAATTTTAATCGTGAGTCAAACCTGTACTTAGCTAAATGTACGTGAATACCGTTCCGTACTGTTCGTACACTTATGAATCACTTATGGATAAAATATTTATAAACTAATTCATGTTAAACGGCCCGGGCCATAGCGCAGACATCACTAGGCATTTCTTCACGACCTTGTCAAAACACAACAAATACAATGTTATTGTCATCAAAATACTATTCAGGAATTGCCTCCCAAAGCTCTTTAACGCCCGCCGATGTGAGATCAGGTGGTCCAAATATAAATGGTTCAGTAGATTGTGGGCCAAATAGTTTCACCATTTTAAGTCTTGATTGTGACAATATTAGAGAAGAGAGTGCGGTGCGAGGTACACCTATCATTTCTGCACAGATTCCAGTAATATGTACATCATCTATCCAGAAGTAGGGTATTGATTGTGCAGCCATTAATAGTCTCTGGATCACATCTTGTGAGTAGAGTATAGCCCAGCCTAAAAAAAGAAACTTATTTAGTGATCTCTGACAATAACATACAATGCATCTTGGAACATATTACCTATATGTTTTTACAAAAAAAAAGTATATAGTATTCTATCAGTTAATCTAGCTTTCATAGTACAAGCTCTACTTAGTTTGAAGCTAGATGGGGTTCTGTTTCAGATGTCCGAAATATTGAAAACAAAAAAAATTGGCGAGCACTCAATGAAGCGGTTTAACTATAGACATTATGCATAGACTATGTTTTTTTTTTACCTGAAAGTAAACCATACGTATACAATTTATGTAAGCAAATCTATTATAAACTCATGTCTAAAGGAGTATGTACTACTCTGTCAAGAAAGTACCGGGAAAAGATCAATAATACATAAAATGTTTGTTATTCATCCGAATTTATTTTATCACCTTCAAAGTTATTTTTGTCAAATGTATTATGTTTTACAAGTTATTGTGTTATGTTATTTTTGTCTTCTACCGATTGAAAACGGGTGCCACGAAGTGGTAATTTGAGTTTAGGAAAAAGAAAGAAGTCGGCTGGAGCCATATCTGGTGAATATGGTGGTTGCTCGATGGTATTTGTTGAGTGTTTGGTCAAAAATTCGTTCACAATGATTGAAATGGTACGGATCCACTCGTGAGATACAGACAGTTCGGCGGCTATCTCTCTCAAAGTTGAATGAGGATTTCCAGTCACTATTTCCTTCACTTTTGCGATGTTAACTTCAGTTGCAGACGTTGATGGCCTACCAGAGGGAGGCAAATCTTCCATCACATCTCGACCGCTTTTGAACGCTTTGTACCACTCATAAGCATGTTTTTAATAAAGTCGATTCACCGTAAGCCTTCTGTAACATGTTGAGTGACTCCTAACACGAAATTCCATTGGCGATGCAAAATTTAAGACAAACTCTTTGTTCGATGGTCCATTATGATATTCGCAATACACACTAGATATGATATAACTAAAAACAGCACTGTATTTAATATAAATAACAGATGCAACTCAAACTCCGCCAAAATGGAAAACAGTTGTGCCAATCTAACAACAACAAAAAAAAAAAAATTGGAATCATAAACAAATGATCCATTCCCGATACTTCTTTGACTGAATGTATACAAAAAGAAGAAATAAATTAAAGAACATAATATATATCTTTACTAATAGAATTAAGCTGAAGAGTTTTAATTCAATTAAACCAATGGAACATCATGGTATGACTCTCTGAAACACAGATCAAAATGAACGGGTAATGATTTGACGACCGGATAGCGTAGTGGATTGTGTAACGGACTGCTATTCCAAAGGTCGTGGGTTCGATTCCCGCCCAAGTCAAAAATTTGTGTGTATGAACATATTTAATGTCTGATTTGGTCTGGTTGTTTTATATGTATAATATGTATGTATTTACAAAAAAAAAGTATATATGTATTTATATCAGTTGTCTAGTACCCATAGTACAAGCTCTGCTTAGTTTGGGACTAGATGGCGTTGTGTGAATGTAGTAAAATATATTATTATTATTATTAATGATAAATCACCATTTTGTTGATTTATTAGTCACCATCGAGATCTCTGACACGGAGACCTTTTTTGAAGGAGTGAAATGTCCCACGACCCCATAGTTAGTATAACACCATGAAACAAGTCGGATCGCATATTTTTAATAAACATGCATATTACTCACTAACATTTTTATCTGAATAGTCTATGGTCTACTAAAATCACACATACCTGCACAATATGTTGGATAAAATTGTTTTGAATATTCATGAGTCGTCACCTTCCATTTTGATTTTGATGATCTCTGAGCCTTGGCATTTTTAAGCACTTGACACATTATCAAATCTTTCGCTCCCCACGGTGACAGTTCCCTAGCCAAAAAATGTCTCATCTCCCCTGAGTTGACGAGAACATCATCATCAGTTTTCAAAACATATCTTGCTGCAGGGCAATGATGTTTTACCCATTTTAAGCCCATAACATGCTTATAGGTCAAATTCCTATAAGCATCTTTAAAATTTCCATATACTATGTCTCCATGCTCCGTAATTTCCTTATGTACTAGTTTTGATACTGTGGTATTATTCTTAGTTTCACCGATCAAGAACACGACTTTCGTGGAGTCAAAGTTTCGACCCCATGTGCTTCGAATAATTTGTCGTTTTTCAGCATGATGTGGATTCGAAGAGACTATTACCATTAGTAGTAAGCCTGCAGTATAATTTTTGCATGGTTGTGGATTATGAATGAAAGTAAAATTGTTAATGTCGATCAACTGTTCGTAGTTATCTTCGACAATTACTTCTGTCGTGTTGTAAGGGCCAAGAAGACTGAACTGCGGCTCCGGAAGCTTGACCGAGATAGGTGTTGTACGCATATAATATTTTGAAACTATAAACAGGGCAAAAATAGTAAACAATATCTTGTGGAGGGTCATAATTTCTGTTCTTTCACGTTGTATTTCCGTCATAGTAAATTGGATAATATTTCATGTATACTTTTGTCACTTGTCACAACAAGTTTTAATTAAAGAAGGCACTTATTATTTACAATAATCTTTTCTTTTTCTCTTGCTTCGGTTGCGTTTTTAAACACTTCTACTAAACTTCAGGATGGAGGGTAGATTTATTCGTTTTAAATAATAAAATAATGTGCTTTTAACTGTTTGTAATTGTAGTTCTGTGGAAGAGGAACAAAGTTATAGCATACCTATTTTAATTATTAAATTATTTATTGGAGTAACTAAGACTCAGAGATGTTAGAAACATTTTGTATGTTTTATAAATTAAGGTTAGACTCATTGCCTCGCAGTAACTGGCGCAGCTGAAACCCCGATGCAATGTGTCATATATAGACAATCTAATCTACTCGCAATCATCATCAGTATGCTGTTGGAGCTGACCCACACCCTGTGTTTTAGCACGACGGCATAGAAACAGTCAACGTGAGCAGCGCAACGTGAAGCAGGGCAACCCCACCAGCACCCTGACCGCGTTATTATACTAGATGCGGAGAGCATTGTATGATTTTTGAGTAAAATGTGCCCACAGGCTACACGTGTAAAAGGAGGTACAGTAAGCAGGATATAATACATATTTTGTTTCTCTCAAGGCACCTATAAAAGAATTGTATTTTGTTAAGCAAAATGACTTTGTAAAAGATTTTGGAGAGAATTAACTAACGTCAAGAGGTAAGTCAAATAAAGGGTCGGGGTATCTGTTAATCAGGAACATTAGAAATAGTGAGAACTGATATCATCATCATCAACAGCATTTTAACAGTCCACTTCTAGACATAGCCGTCAATTTAGAAGGGAGTTTTGGCATACTATACTATGCTGTCCGTGTGGTGACGGATTAAGAATAGAGTGTCACCACCCCTATTCATACCTTGGGTGTCGTAAGAGCCGACTAAGGGAGAAAACTATGCAGAACAACAGCACTACAGGGAGAAGGAAAACTTAACACAAACACTATACTAACCTGTCAGGCCAGCGTGGTATAGTAGGCCAAAACCTCCTTTCTAAGGGGAGGTTTATGTCCAGCAGTAGACTATTAAAGGCTGTTAATGATGATGATGATGACGATACTATGCTGGCCAGACAGGTTGATATAAGGTTTGTGTCAAGCTACCCTTTTGTGTGAATAGAGCTGGTGACACTCCATATTCTTAATCCATTACCACACAGATGGAGCAACTAATATAGGACAGAAGTCAATATATTCAAGATAGACCATTTGTCTCATTCATACTGACATCAAGTTTTAATTTTCAAGGAAGTGAAACCAGGTAAAAAACTCAATAAAAACCATCGCCCAAAAGCTGAGAATTACAGAATTAAATGAGACCCAAAATTTCAAGTTTACATTTTGTTTTTAATTTACATTGAGATATCTCTCTAAAAATAATCTCTCTAAGACTCTCTCTATGGCATATTCAGATGTGAGGAAAATTATTGACATATTTGTTTTATAATAAAGCTGGTGAATCTACTTGATTTTTAATTTATGACGCAGATTCAAATCTGATGAAGAAGATTGTTTTAAAGCGTTTATCGTGGCACATACTGTCCCCATCAGATCCCTCTGATGGGCACAGTATGTGCCTCGATAAACGCTTCTAACGCCATTCATCTCTAGAAAAAGTCTGTACTCACTAAACTTAAGATGAAAATTCCACCACCAGAAATACACAAAACTTAGTTTAAAAGCACAGTATTCAATTATTTGCAAGAAAACAAAAAGTAACCTATAATCTCACAACACTAAGCCAACTATAGGAAGTAGTTCATCGCGAAATACATTAACACCGGTAATCACAATATTTAACAATAGCAATGTATCGCCTTTCTTGAAATGCAATTATCAGAATGTAAACTTTGTAAAGTACTAAAGTACCTACGCTGGTATTGCCAACTTTTAATATAATTTGAAATGTGTAAAAAAAATCGTTTTTGGCCGTTGACAAGTGTTGGCCAGATCACGAAAATAAAACAAATAGGCGAGCCTTGCAGTAATAGAGATAATCTAAAACTAGAGTAGGAAAGCTGGCTGTAAGCGCGTAATAGCGTTACAGAGAGAAAAAAGATTCTCTCCTCTATCCACTGATTGGCTGTCACAGCCCCCTACAATCATCATAGAGAAAATATATACGATTCCTGCTCAAGTCAAACATTTGTGTGCATGAACATTTGATGTTTGATTTGGTCTGGGTGTTTCTATGTATAATATGTATATATTTACAAAAAAAAAGTATATATGTATTAATATCAGTTGTCTAGTACCCATAGTACAAGCTCTGCTTAGTTTGGGACTAGATGGCGTTGTGTGTATGTGGTAGAATATTATTATGTCATTTTATACCTTGTCTGGTCTCCCTTTTATTTTAAAGGGGTAACAAAATCTAACACACGGGCCTTAGCCAAGTGTGCCAAAAAGGGCTTATGTTAGAGGGGGCAGACGAGCAATCGGGTCACCTGATGGAAAGTGACCATCACCGCCCATCACGCGCCAAACCACATTATTAAAGGTCAATTCTCAAAATTCAGTTCGCAACTGTCATAAAAGTTTTTTTGGAGTAAAATAGTGAAGTATTAACTAAGACTAGCAGATTACCGATTCAATTTTCAGTTACAATATGATATAATCACATTACAGTCAACAATGGATGTTTAACAATTTACTATGAAAATAACTTTTATGACATTTGTGAGCCAACTCTCTAGAGTTGATCGACTCTGAATTGTGACCGAACTTTTATTATGAGAATCGGCTTTCAGAATGCATGTTATACGAACTCTATTATGTTATACGAACACAACCTGTAGTAAAAAAAACCACTACGCATTTTCTGTTTTTGTAGGTGACATTATGTACTTTGACATTATTTACTACTTTTACTAGCTATGATCACGGTTTAAAATGTGTTTTCATTGTAGGTTTATTCTACTTCATTACAAGTTTATTTAGTAGAATTTTTACTGTCAGTGCTCCGCTTTCATAAACACAAAAAAAAATGGGAACGTTAGTTCCATTCTAATTTTTTAAGCTGAGTAAGCTGAGATTCCCTTTAGAACATTAGATATTACATTTATATTTTTTTTTTTTGTTTTTTAAAAGAAGTTTTTATCAATTGATACTTTGCTTGGAGTTGACAACTACCTATATTTCCTAATATTACGGGTATATCATTCAACTCAACTTTTGGTTAATGGCTTTGTGTGATAAAGTAAGGAGTTGCACACCTCCGTAGCCACTATCTATGCCTGTCTACAAGCTATATTAAATGTGTCATAAAGTAAAAACAACTGACTATTAAATTGTACATGTCATAGGTGTTAAAATAAAATATCCATATTAAATGTGTTTCGATATCATCGTTTATTGGGTTTTACTTGCACTGATCCCCCACAAATTGGTAGCGGAGCATGGTTATGCGTAAGTATAACCCGTGGGTATGTCCAAAATGAATATATCGAGTTATCGAAATATTGAACTCCTGAAAAAGGTAAATTATGATACCTGGTGTATGCAAGCACAGGCGGTCCTGATCAAAAATGACTATTGGGACATCGTCAGCGGCGAAAGAAAATTATTGCCAAATTCAACTCCAGAAGAAAAACTTGTTTTTCAAAAAGACGATCTAAAAGCAAGAGCGGACATTTTGCTTTTACTGTCACCATCGGAGTTAAAACAAATAAAAGCCTGCTCCACCGCAAAAGCTGTTTGGGATAAACTGAAAGCAACTTACCAAAGTGCTGGGCCTGCTAGAGAAGCTACTCTATTAAAACAACTTGTCTTAAAACGCATGAATGCTAGTGAAGACATCCATGATCATATAAATAATTTCATGGACATAGTTGACAAGCTTGCCGACATGGATATAAAAATACCACCGGAATTACTCAGTATTATGTTACTGTACAGTTTGCTGACTACATTCGAGAATTTTAGGATAGCTATTGAATCCAGAGATACATTGCCAAATCCAGAAGACTTAAAAGTCAAAATTCTTGAGGAATGTCAAGCTCGAAATAGTAATGATAAACCTGAGAAGGAAGCATACTATTCAAAGAATAAACAAAAATTTTATTGTAACAATTGCAAAAAGAAAGGTCACTCTACTGAGATGTGTTGGGGTAATAAGAAGAACATAATTAAAAAGGAAAAAGGTAAAGCATCAAACACTTATAATGTTTGCCTAAGTACTGCATACCCAAGTTCAAATGAAAGAATTTGGTGTCTTGACAGTGGTTGTTTAGCGCACATGTGCGCCAACAAATCAATGTTTTTAAATTTAACCGCTGAGAATGGCACATTAAAAATGGCATCAAATAAATACACAAGTGGAATTCAAGGTAAAGGAACAGTAAAAATAAATATAGAGAAAGAAGTTTATAATTTTACTGAAACCTTATACGTTCCAGACTTGTCAGTGAACCTAATATCAGTGGGTAAAATAACCGAAAAAGGTCACAAGGTTTTATTCGAAAAGAATAAAGCATATGTCATTGAAAATAATGGTGAAATAACACTGACAGCTCAAAGAAAAAATGGGCTATATTATATTCAATTCAATTCAATTCAATTATTTATTTCGGACTATTACATCCATATAGTGTTAGTAACAATGTGTTTTAAAAACTAGTGTTAGTATTGAATTATATTTATTCGTTTATTATAATTTTTTTATTTTACGTGAATGGAAATCCACCTCTGAATAAGGGAAGAGTCCCATCTATCTGAAAAAACATTCAGGATGCGGTTGGAGGAGGAGCGCAAACGCACCAGCATGGAGGCGCAACGTTTCCGCATTATAGCGGTGAAACCGTCGACCGCCATGGCGACCCCAAAAGCACCCTGAATGCATTATTATACTGGACACGCAGGTCGTTGTATGCCCTCTGCGCAAACTTAGTCCACAGGCTGCAGGTGTAAAAAGATTGGCAGAAGGCTTTAAACAGCATTATTTAAACATTGCTAGTACAGCGTGCAAACCTACGGGCCATTAAGTATATTGAATCTGATGAAAAAGAATTTATTACTGCTAAATACACTACAAAAACAAAAAATAACATCATGGAATGGCATCGAAAACTTGGTCATATAAATGAAAGAGATTTGATCAAAATGGCAAAAGACAACCTTTTGTATGGTTTAAAATTATCTAATGAAAAGTTTGATATATGTGAGACCTGCATCAAAGGAAAATTTACAAGATTACCATTCGAAAGACATGATGAACTCTACACCACAGAAGCTTTAGAAATAATACATAGCGACGTCTGTGGACCATTTGAGTGTGAAACGATGGCAGGATCGAGGTATTATGTTACTTTTATAGATGATAACACACGTCATTGTCAAGTATATTTCCTAAAAAGGAAGAATGAGGTACTTTCATACTTCAAGGAATACAAAAGTGAAGTTGAGAAGCTACACAATAAGAAAATAAAATACCTACAGTCAGATAACGGTACAGAATACAGAAATAAAGAGTTTGACGATTTTCTAAAATTGCATGGCATTAAAAGAAGATTGACAACTGTATACACTCCACAACAAAATGGGATTAGTGAGAGGAAAAATAGATCATTGTTGGAAAAAGCCAGATGTCTCTTGATCGAAGCAAATGCTCCTAAAAAGCTATGGGCAGAAGCAATAGCTACTGCCAACTACTTGATCAATCGAACCTCTTCTAAAACTTTGAAAGGTGAAATCCCCTTTAAAAAATGGATAAATAAAACACCATCAGGTAATCATCTTTATGTTTTTGCCAGGAAGACGTATGTTTTGAAAAAGAATAAACGAGGCAAATTAAGTCAAAATACCAAAGAAGGCGTATTTGTGGGATACTCAATGACCTCAAAAGCCTACAGAGTATACATACCTGAAGATGATGATATAGTTATCAGTAGGGATATAAAAGTTTTAGATAAAATGTATTATGAAGAAAATACTCAAAACTATGAGAAGCTCATAAACGAAGAGGAACATCAACAACGTTCATCATTACCTGAAAATGTAAATAAAACTAAAAATAAGTACAATAAAAGTAATGAACCAGTAGAAATTGAATTCATAGAAAATAAAAATGATAGTAACTTACAAAACCCTATTAGCATTGAAAGCTATGAATCTTCAGAAGATTGTTTCAATGATGCCTCAGAAAATGAAGAAACACCTGTTCATTGGAGGCCACAAAGAAACAGGCGTGGACAAAGGATTTTGTTGTAAATAATACTGAAGAAAGTTTATTATCTGAAATATCTCTCTTGTCTGATAGAGATGAATATGATGACTACTGGCACGATGCAATAAAAGATGAAATTAGAGCACACGTGAAAAACGGTACTTGGAAAATAGAAAAGAAAGATAAAAACATGAAGGAAATAGATTATAAAATGGTATTACGTAATAAAGTAGGACCAGACAATAACATAAAGAAAAAGGCGAGACTCGTAGCACGAGGTTTCTCCCAACGGCCAGGCATCGATTATCATGAAACTTATGCTCCGGTCGCTAAGTTAAGCTCAATCAGATCTGTCATTGGAATAGCTATGGAAGAAAATCTAAAATTAAACCAAATAGACGTAACAACAGCGTACTTGAATGGTGAATTGGAAGAGCACATAGCTATGAAATATCCTGAATGTTTATAAGAGTATTTGACTGAAATATTAGTCGAAGGAAAGCAGAAATTATGACCTGACTGTTTACAATAAAACAAAAGAAATATTAAGGGATATAAAACGTACTCCCAAAGACAAAGTATGTCGTTTAATAAAATCTCTGTACGGACTAAAGCAGTCTGGGAGGCAGTGGCATAAGAAACTTGACGTAGAATTTAAAAATATATGTTTCATTCCCTCAGAGGCAGATCCATGTCTATATAGACTAGAGATAAGAGGAGCCAAAATAATTATAGCCATCTACGTTGACGATTTTTTGATTGCCTACTCTAGCCCTACAGAACTTCAAAAAATAAAGACCCAGCTAAACTCTAAGTTCGAATTAAAAGATTTAGGCGAGCCGAAGCGATTACTGGGCATTGATGTTACTTACGGCCAAGATACAATTAAATTGTACCAAGAACGTATAATATTAGATACCCTCAAGATGTATGGAATGACGGACTGTAAGCCAGTATCTACACCGATAGAACTAGGCATTACTTTACAGAAAAAAGAAATAAATCAAACAAAGAGCCTCCCGTACAAAAACTTAATTGGCACTCTTATGTATATAGCGGTCGCAACTCGACCAGACATAATGTTTGCTATAAGCTACCTTTCCCAGTTCAACGATTACTGTGATGAAGAACATTTTAAATGTCCGAAAAGAGTACTACGTTATTTAAAAGGTACACAGAGTGTTGGTCTGGTGTTTCACAAAACTGGAAAAGAATTATACGGCATGGCAGATGCAGATTGGGGATCAAATAAGATTGATCGAAAATCCTTTTCGGGATATTGCTTTAAATTTGCAGGAACGGCCATAAGCTGGATGTCTAAAAAGCAAAGAAGCGTAGCCCTGTCGACCGCAGAGGCGGAATACGTTGCACTGACTGAAGCTGCAAAAGAAGCCATAAACCTAAAAGGTATTTTAAAAGGCGTAGGGATCAGTTATAAGAGCATAGTCATATTGAATGACAATCAAGCTGCCCTAAAACTTAGTCAGAATAATATGGTGACATCAAAATCCAAACATATTGACCTAAAAATGCATTTCATTAGAAATTGTATTCAAGAAGAAAAAATAAAGGTTAGATATCTTCCAACCGAGAAGATGGAGGCAGACATGCTAACCAAACCCCTCGCTGGTCCGAGACTTGAAAAACTACTCTAGGGTTGGCTCCGTGAGCTGTGAAGAGGAGTGTGATAACGTAAGGAGTTGCACACCTCCGTAGCCACTATCTATGCCTGTCTACAAGCTATATTATATGTGTCATAAAGTAAAAACAACTGACTATTGAATTGTACATGCATAGGTGGTAAAAATAAAATATCCATATCAAATGTGTTTCGATATCATCGTTTATTGGGTTTTACTTGCACTGATCCCCCACACTCCCTCCTGTGTGGGAACCCCTATGTCCCCTTTGTGCTCCCGAAAGGGGGCGCGCGCTTCGAAGCGCGTTTCGCCACCACCCCGGGCTGCTTCTGCTAGGGTGAGGATTATACTTTAACCCCTAATATTAATACGTGAAGAAAATTATTTGCACCACATTTGTTAAGTGCAATAGTAAAACAATAAGTGTTATAAAGTTAAAATTCTGTAAAAAACAACCACCTACATTTTTTTTTATGTCATAGACGACAAGTGTGGGCTTGACGAGGGAAACGCGAACCATATATTTTTTAATTGTCCTAGAACTAAGTTTCCTATTTATGAATTCATTCCTCCTCATATTCCTCATCCCACGTTCCTTAAATTACTCTTATCTCGCGTTTTTACTCCTTTTGTATATATTCTAGGTAAGTGTATAACTTTAAACAAAATTAAATTATAGTTTCAATATCAGTGTAATATTTGTTTTTGTTTTACTGGTTATTTATTATTTTGTATATATATTATTAGCTGTATATATATTTTACTAGTTTAAGTTTTATCATGCCTGTAAAAGATAACAATTTATTCATTCTTATTCTTTCATTCTCAAAATTTCTTTTGGCTCTACCACAGCTCTACATAAAATCCTTTGACAGTTTGTCTTTCAAATACATGACATTGGCGAAATTGCCACAGGCACAAAGTAGGGGTGTCCACTTAAAAAATATATCGATATTTATATTCGATGTAAAATATTGGATCCCAGCATCGATGTTTATCGATATATCGCTAGAAAACATCGATATTTTTTCACTATCGAATACTTTCCACAAAAATTTAATATTACCTTTTTCCAGTGAAACGCACAAAGTTTGTGGTCCTTGATTTTGTAAGTATGAATGTAGAATTAGAGACCACAGTAACATAGCTAAACTAGTAGTGTAATAATAGTGATTTTCTATGAGTGTTACTTGAATAGAATTGTACTACTAAGATAGTGGTGAGATGACTGAAATAAGTTATACCTACATTTGTAAGTGAAATAAAAACGACAAATTAATAGAAATATTTTATTACATACCACAAAACTTGAAAACAGTAAAAGAAAAAAAATACATATTTTGTACTAGCCTTAATCTAGGTACTTGCAAAAACTTACTTTCACTTTACCTATTTAAGACCAATGCTCTTTAGACAAACTTTGCAAAAATAGTGCAAGAAGAGTGAAGTGAGTGTAAGTAAATATAATGAACCTATAGAATCCACAGACTATACATACATTGAGAGTGAATAGTCGATCGATCTGTCAGGATAGATTAGATAATTAAGATGGTCACTCACAGATGTCACTATCTTAATGAACCTTATTTAAAATTGAAGGCATCAAGTAGTGTTAAAATTATTTAGTTCGTTAATAGATTCGACAAGAAAATAAAAAAAGCAAATATTCGATGTTTCTATAAATAAATATATCGATATATCGAATACAATAAATGTTAGTCAAAACATCGAATCAATCCGATATATCGTACGGAATACATCGAATAAATTCGATATATCGATGTTAAGTGAATATCCCTAGCACAAAGCCATTAACCAAAAGTTGAAGAGCTAAGCTAGTTAAAGTTATATACCACTAAATTAATTAATGTAATACAAGGATGGGCTATTCTATATGCCGACTCTGTGTAGGAGTTTTTAAAGAAAATCTCGAAATGTACAAGTTGACTCAGGAGTGTAAAATTTTATTCAAAATTCGAACCTGTTTAAGTTTTAGCGTAAGTCGATTTTTTAAATTAGAATAAAATGCGTGAGAATATACTTGAAGATCTGGATTTACGTAATTTTACATAGTTAAATGTATATTATTTAACTTTCTCGTGTTACGCAGCTTTTTGTGACAACGTGCTTACTTTTTCTTATAACTTATCTAAATCTATCATTTTATACTGGGACTCAAATTATGAGAACTTCTAAGTGATATCTCCGCTTGTTAGTGAGCATTTAAAGTTACACATTTTTTTACTTTATTAGTTATCTGCTGAAATCAAAAATAAAAGTAGCAATGAAAACACCTTAAATGTTTTCATTTCAAATAAGTCAAAAAATACTTTGAAAAATTGTGCTGGCCTGTCTGTACCCCTATACCATCAAAAAAGGTCTGTAAAGCCCTGCTGAATAATAATAATAATTGGACATATCTCACACACTGCAGTCTGATCCCAAACTAGGCAGAGCCTGTACTATGGTAACCTGACTGCTGATACACCTATATAAACTACATATACATATGAGTATATCATCATCAACAGCCTATACTAGTCCACTGCTGGACATAGGCCTCTCCTTAGAAAGGAGGTTTTGGCCTACTATACCACGCTGGCCAGACGGGTTGGTATAGGGTTTGTTTCAAGTTTTTCTTCTCTTTGCAGTGCTGTTGTCCTGCTTAGTTTGCTCCCTTAGTCGGCTCTTACGACACCCACGGGATGAATTGGGGTGGTGACAATTTGTATTCTTAATCTGTCACCACAAGGTTTGAGTATGAGTATATAACTATTAATATATACAAATTATAGATTGTATAGATTGTGTCATATGGTTTAAAATTCATTCCATCACACCTGTCACTCATCTACAACATCACTGTGACATATTATTATTACAGTAGCACTAGATACTGAAAAGGTCAAAAAAAAAAAAAAAACTTCAGTTTGATTGATTTTGATGGCATTTATCTTTGTCTATGACCAAATCAAAATAGTGATTTATCGCAGCTGAAATCACAGAGTCTAAAACTAATCATTCCATTAAATGAATATCATTTAAAAGTAGCAATAATTGCCATGTCTATTATAGATAAATTACACCCAGACACAGGACAAATGATTGGACTCGTCACACAATATTTGTATTAAGCAGCGAAGGTCACTATCCAGTAGACTAATAGGCCTATCAATGAATGTGCGGATATGGCTTAACCACTGATCAGATCAGTTCTTACAGGTTTTATAACAATAAACCGTTTAATTTAAAAAAATCAGTTAAACTTGTGGCATAAAAGTGGGAAATTTTTTACATTGGTCTTGAGTGATTAGTAATCCTGTGGACCTTGGGGTTGTAGGTTTGATTCCCTCCTAGGTTAAGTAATTGTGTGAAGAGCATGATTATTAGTTCTGCATGGGTGTAATTTAATCAACAGCCTTTAACAGTCCACTGCTGGACATAGGCCTCTCCTTAGAAAGGAGGTTTTGGGGGTTGGTATAGGGTTAGTGTCAAGTTTTCCTTCTCTCTGCAGTGCTGGTGTCCTGCGTGTTTCGCTCCCTTAGTCGCCTCTTACGACACCCACGGGATGAATAGGGGTGGTGACACTCAGTATTCTTAATCCGTCACCACACGGAACACACACACACACAGGCTACTTCACTCCGACTTTAACCTACTTAAAAAGAATGGAGATATCTTCGTTATTCATATTATGTGTAATTTATCTGTAATATTTAATTTGTTTAAAGTACAGTCGTCGTCCGAATGTCGCGTCACTGCCACACGAATGAAAGTTGTATATTTACAAGCCCACGCACACATAGGGCCGCGCGCACAACTGAGTTGAACTATCTATAAGCATGTTTATCAGCAGTAGTTAACATAGTGCAAGGTACACATCTTATACTCAAACATCTGATCACATAGTAGGTATACTATGTGATTAGATGTTTGAGTGTAAGATATATCATGTAATTAGTGCCTCCGTGGTGCAGTAGTAGCATATTCGCATATGCTACTACTGCACCACTGTGCTGTGCTGAGGTCTCGGGCTCGATTCCCCGGTCGCAGTCAGACCAAATGTTTGTATGATCTGCAATATTTGTTTTGGAGTTTTCTATGTAAAATATATATGTAATTACAAAAAAAAGTGTATAAGTATTCTATCAGTCAATCTAGCTTTCATCGTACAAGCTCTGTTTAGTTTGAAACTAGATGGCGTTCCAAAAATTATTATTATTATATTTTATTTTTACTGCTCCTTTACAGCTAACGATTAATGAAGGGCTTCCTAATACAATCTGCGAGGAATGTGTAAATAAAATTGACCAAATAAACGAATTTTGTATCAAAGTAAAAGAAAACGAACAGACTTTAAAACATCATGTACAAAACGGTACCTTGGAAAATTATTACCAGCATTTAAAAAATGGTATTTCTATAAAACATGAAGATAAGTCTTTTGGAGAAACCACTGATATTATAAACCACTCTGAATTACTTCCATTTAAAGGAAATGGGGATAATAAATTTACTAAAAATATTAAAGTTGAAGAATCTACGAATAACGATATTGATATACCTATAAACAATTCAACAGATGATGAAGATGATACTGGAGCTTCAAATTTATTTATTCACTCTGAAGGCTCCGCAAACTTGGTTAAAAATATAACAAACGAAAGAGAAGTAACAGAATGTACACCCATGTTAACTAAAGACTCTGCAAAAGCTGTATTAGATCGGTACAGTTGTTTGACATGCAGCAAAATATGTCAGACACATGATGAGTTACGAGAACATTATAACAAAGAACACACAAACAAAGACAATAAAATAACGGAACCAACTTACACAAAAACAATTATTAATGGCAAAATTATGTACAAATGTGATGTTTGTTGTAAAATGTATAGCAAAAAGTATTTAAAAAGACATTTATTACATCACACAGATGTAAGACCCTATGTTTGCAAATTATGTTGTAAGTAGTTTTTAAATTTATTTTAATATTAATCTTTGGGGAAACAATATGCGTTTGGGCAAATAGATGAAAGTGTACTTTAAACTTAGATATACTTTGGGAGAACAATATGCATTTGGGAAAATAGATCAGAGTGTACTTTAAACATAGATATACTTTGGGAAAAATATGCGTTTGGGAAAATATATCACAGTCACATCACTTTATACTTACAAATACTGCACGACGACTGCACGGATGGCGTAGTGGTTTATTAACAACGTAGGGTCCTATGTGAAATGTGTATGCTATGTTTCACGTATAATGGTTGAAACATTTAATGCATGTTGAAATTGTAACATTTTCTAAGCCTTGAATTAAGCCTACTACTTAATACATACAGTACCATATGAAAGGAAAGGCATTTTCTTGTTTAATGTTTAATTCAGAAATGTAACATTTCGTCGTAGGTACTTATAATTCTTAAATATGTACAGTTTTATTAACGTGAATGTTTCAAAGAATCTCAACTGATTTAAGATCCAATATTAATCCCTCATTAAGGATACGACGCCACCTATCCCACACAACTTTAATAATCAATAATATTAATTATATAATATTAATATATTTTTTTATTTGTTTCCACAGCTCGCACTTATACCACAGTTTCTGATATTATGAGGCATGGGTTTAGAGTCCACAGCGGAATCAAAATGCTTTGTGCTTACAAATGTGGTTTCAGCTCTGCATACACGGGAGCTTTGAAAGAACATGAGGACCGAGTGCATAAGAATACATATAAGGTGGGAATTTAAATGTTCACGTATCTTGATATGCTTTATTTGGAGAACTGTCTATTTTACTATTGCTACTTACATACTGTGTCCACTTCTGAACTTTGGGATGTTAACGCATATTAACACATTCACTTTGATGAATTGATGATTTAATGGCATAATGGTTTATGCTGAGTGTTGTGGGTTCGATCTCCACATGGGACGACACTTTGTGTGATCCACAAATTGTTGTTCTGAGTCTAGGTGTTCTTTGTGTCTGTTTTATGTATGTTTGTAAAGTCCCCCACTACTCAGGATATATTTCCACTGCAGGAGTTGTCTAAAGTTAATTTGCCGTAGTTTAGTTTGGGCTCCCACAAATATTTTGACTTAACTATGTAAACACTTTCGCTCACAATGTGCGCTTTTCAAGACACCTTCGCCTCGCACAACCAATCTGTTTAACAAGTTATGGTCTGCGGTATTTCCGGACCGATACGACCTTCAAACCTTCAAGAAATCGAGATCGTACTCCTTCTTCAAAGGCCAGCAACGCGCTTGTGACGCTTGAGTTGCAGATGTTCATGGGCTGCGGTAGTCGCCTTCCATCAGGTGATCTGCCTGCTCGTTTGCCCCTTCTTCCATAATCGTTAAACACGTACATTTCTTTTGTAATAATGTAATTAATAACAGTCCAATTTCGACCTTTGGGTGACCAATAATATGGTATGACTTGCAGTACACTTGTGATAAATGCGGCAAAGGTTTCCAAGTAAAGACCTGGTACGATCAGCATCAGAACATACACACGGGATTGAAGCCCTTCGTCTGTGACATTTGCGGTCACGCCTTTCACATGGAAAAGTAAGTTATTTTTTAACATTTTCGTTTATAAATGGAAATGCTAGCACAATGTTTAACGTCTAAATTCCTGAATCGGTTAAGATGAAATTTTGCAAACACGTCGTTAATGATGAGAAAGGACATAGGGTCAGGTAGCCCTACCGTGTGAGGGTGTGCTTCGGTACATGTGGACCGGCTCGACCGGAATGATCCGGCTTCATAGAAAACCGGTGTCAATCAATTCTTTCTTCATCGAGTAAGTGAGGTTACCGGAGCCAAACCCAACCTCCTGACTCTTGGCTTGCAAGTGTCCATGGGTGGCGGTAGTCACTTACCATCAGGTGTCCTGTAGCTCGTTTGCCCCCACATACCATGAAAAAAATTGAAGATTCACAATGGGTATTATTAATAAGGCAATTTGTGTATGCCAATGAATCTTTATCAACTTTTACTTCAATAAGATCTTTCAAGGTAGTTTATTGTTTTAATTCACATCAACAGCCTATACTAGTCCACTGCTGGACATAGGCCGCTCCTTAGAAAGGAGGTTTTGGCCTACTATACCACGCTGGCCAGACGGGTTGGTATAGGGTTTGTTTCAAGTTTTCCTTCTCTTTGCAGTGCTGTTGTCCTGCTTAGTTTGCTCCCTTAGTCGGCTCTTACGACACCCACGGGATGAATTGGGGTGGTGACAATTTGTATTCTTAATCCGTCACCACACGGAACTCTTAATCCGTCACCACACGGAACTCTTAATCCGTCACCACACGGAACTAATCCGTCCCCACACGGGAACGGATTGTTTTAATTACTTCATGAAAAACAGCCAAATATCTACCTCAGTGTGACGTATGTCATCGTTTATATCTCCAATATCTATTTATTTTAGAAATTTAACAACACATCGCTGGAAAATTCATCCGCAATCAGACGCAAAACGTCTTACATGCGTACATTGTAATCTCAAGTGCGAATCTGAAAACACTCTTAACACACATTTAGAGGTAAGTATTTTTTAACGTACAGTAAAACTGTAGTTCCATTTGGCATATCCCTGTGATTGCCTTAAAAGTTATGCTTTAAAATCTTATTTTAAATTTGAAAAATTTCTGTGTAATTTTGTAACTCTTGTTAGGTATGTATATTTGTATTTTTACGAAGAAAAAGCATCTCAATTTTTTTTATTTATTCAACTCTTTTCTGTAACAGTTTGTTTATTAGCTAACCATTAAACCATCTAATATAAGATTGATAATTACAATAATAATAGACAAGTAGTACACCAGAAATATTTTTAAGATAATAATAATAAATAATAATTTCACACATCTCACACACGGCCGTCTGATCCCAAACTAGGCAGAGCCTGTACTATGGTAATCAGACTGCTGATAAACATACTTATATATTTCTAAATACATGCATAATATAGATAAATTACAGAACAAATGATTGTGCTCATCACACAATTATTTGTCCTGGGTGGGAATCGAACTCACGACCGCCGGCTTAGGAGTCAGGGTCACTAACCACTAGACCAACAGGCCCGTCAACAGATATCCTTGTTTGATAGACTGAACATGGTGTAACAAGAAAAAAACCTGATCGGAGGAAAAAGGCGCTATGCGACTTGTGTGGGAAGATTTTGAACAGGCCCGAGGCGTTGGTGTTACATCGTCGGATGCATTTAGGCCAGAAACCTTATAAGTGCAGGTATAAATGTACTATATAATTAATATAGGATTAGGATTTAACAACCTGCTAACAAAAATAATAGACTTTACTTTTCCCAATTTTGTAATTTTTTCCCAACTTCTCTAATTTTCTTTCCCAATTTCTTTATTTATTCTGTTACTAAGAATGGTAGAAATAAAATAAGTGTGATTTAGACCACACGACTGAAGTAAAACTTCTTGGCTATGAGAGAAAGAGAGAAAGAAAATGTGTACTCGCACATCTCCCTCTTGCCCCTACAGTAATATACGAAACGCAACTCTGTGTTTCTATCTTCACTAACTAATTTCACACTTTTCGTAACGCTCTCGTCACGCATTTATCAGCTTACTACTTAAGTCAAGCGTGCGTAAAGAAGTTTTACTTCAAAAATCCAAAATCCTTTCAGTTGTTCTGCAGTGATGACCAAGAAATACCTTTTTTTATTAATTTAATACAGTATATAATAAGTAACACATTACAATTAATTAATACATTGGTGCTAATTCTGTTCTTCGAAAACTCTTTAAACTAAACTAAAAATCCCTAAAAAAAAATTTCTACGTTTTCAGAACAGGAAACGTTATTTGACAGGACGAAACAAATTTTTAGTGATTTTTAGTTTAGTTTAGAGAGTTTTCGAACAACAGAATTAGCACCAATATCTACCATAAAACCATTGCTTAGATCTGAATCTTAATGTAACCAATATTTACACATAAATTAAAACCATAAGGATTACATAAAAATTATCTCTGATTTATAAAAAACCTAATATTTATATATTTTATAGGTACTTACTTTTAGATGTTATTACGATATAGTATATTATCCATTTAATTCATAATTGAGTATCATAATCATGGTTCACATCATCAGCCTTTAATAGTCCACTGCTGGACATAAGTCTCTCCTTAGAAAGGAGGGTAAATTTCAGTATTTATAATCATTTTCTTTAAAATCATCATCACTTTCAGTATTTATTAGAAGTTTAATAAACTTTAAAATACATTTCTGTTAAATTTAATCATTGCAACGTTTTAGTCAGACTCATAGAATATAGGACATATTATTCTGGGGGCATTTTAAGCACTGATATAACTTTAAACGTTATCGGAAATAATGGGTAGGGTCTGACTAGTCCGTTCGCGGAGGAGGACCTGAAGTAACACGGATCCTGAACCTTAGATCGGCCTTCGGGATGTTTTTTAATTGACACAGCACATACTCCTGTCTCTTGCGTCCCTGGTGTGGATTTCCCACCCTGTCAACAGAAAAGAGCATTAAATAGAAGTGATAAATTGATTCCACAGCATATGCAACAAGTTGTTCGCGCGCAAATTCTCCATGCAAGTGCACGAGCGTTCGCACTCCCGCGTCAACTCGCACGAGTGCGTGCACTGCGGCAAGCGATACTCGCAGCAGAGCGCCCTCTACCGACACCAGAGGCAGTGAGTACTCATAGCTTGCTATTTTCTTTTTAAAAAAGATAATTTCGACACTAGGAATATATCCTTTTTTCTGGGTCACTTTACACACAAAGAACATTCCTCTGTTTTGTCACCAAAAACAAAATTTCAATTTGATTTTAATTTTTGTTACAATACATTAAAAATATATATCGTATTGTGACTAGAGGGTTACCAGTACTAATTAATGTTTTAATATTTTTATTTCACAGGCAGCACCAAAGCGATTAAAGGCTAGTGAAAACAGTTGAAGCCAAATACAACAATTTGAGATACAGACTGAGACGAAACGAGCAGGAGGAAATTAATTTGTTAAAAAAAAAACAGTTTTTCTTGATAAAAAAATAAATAAAAAATCAAGCCTTGGCGCTAAATACCATCTATCTTATTATTATTTATTTTTTATTATTTTTTAACTTTTTGCACAAGTACATGCATCGGCGGACTTAATGCCTGAGGCATTCTCTGCCAGTCGACCGATAGGGCGGTGCTGAGAAAGAATGAGGTAGGTGCATTTATGGTAAGGTACAAACGATAGTGGTTTTGTTAAATACCAACTATCTTGGTGTATACGTCGTAATACCACACACATACACATATATATACATATACATACTCATAAACATAAACATATATATACATACACATACAATATATATATGAGAAAAAATAAAATAAAAAAAATTAGCCGATGAACTAGGAGCTCGTTGAATCTGCCATTTCGCTCAGCAACAGCTCTTTCACTTTCGTCTTAAAAGAGTACCGATTTGTAGCCATCCTGACTTCGTGAGGAAGCGCATTCCATAAGAGGACAGCCTGGACGAAGAACGAAGAGCCGACAAACCCAGTGGTGTGAGGACAGAGTAGAAGAAGATTGTTGGCCGAACGAAGGTTTCTGTTGTGGTTGTTGCATAACAATTTAAATTGTGTTGTTAAATAAGTAGGAGGGGAAGGGGAATTGAGGATAGTGTACATAGTTGTGAGAGCGCGCATTTTCCTGCGTTGACGAATAGGTAACCATCTTAGCTGGGAACGAAAACCGGAGATATGGTCATACTTACGAAGATTAAAGATGAATCGAATGCAGTTATTGATGGTCATAATAGCACACGTCACCGTAGTCGATTGGTGTATTGGTGACCTTATTGTAATTGGTGTACAATAAAGCATAGGTTTATTATATTCTACCTGGCTATCGTTTTGGAAATTTTTACTATCGCGATGCAGGATTAGCAGTTTCTCCGTAGTTCGGTGTGTCTTCCCTAGATGGCACTGACTCCTGCTTCGCTTTCATTGTATATGAATGTCTCCTTAATATAAATCTCGACATAGTATAAAATAGTCGCTTCTGGTTCTTGTACGCTTAAGTCTCTCCAAATTGCGCAACGGATTTTAATACGATTTTCAGTAGAGAGAATGATTCAAGAGGTGAATTTATATGTTTACCTAATACATGCATATTATAGTAGAGGGAATCCTAGTCAACAGTTTTCCGGGGAACAGTTTTCCATGTGGTGACGGATTAAGAATACGGAGTGTCACCACCCCTATTCATCCCGTGGGTGTCGTAAGAGCCGACTAAGGGAGAAAACTACGCAGGACAACAGCACTGCAAAGAGAAGGAAAACTTAACACAAACCCAACCTGTTTGGCCAGCGTAGTATAGTAGGCCAAAATCTCCTTTCTACGGAGAGTCCTACGTCCAACAGTGGACTATTAAAGGCTATGATGATGATTAACAAAATGGGAGTTATCATAACTTGATAATAGTACCTCTAGTACCTAACTCACAAAAAATATGTAAAAATAAAATCAAAGAAAACACCATTTCGACGTGTTCCATACTTTTCATTTAATACTAAATATGTAACACTAAATGTGATGTGTCAAAAAATCAAACAAGAAATCATTATTCCGAAATCTATACTAATATTATAAAGCTGAAGAGTTTGTTTGTTTATTTGTTTGTTTGTTTGTTTGAACGCGCTAATCTCAGGAACTTCTGGTCCGATTTGAAAAATTCTTTCAGTGTTAGATAGCCCATTTATCGAGGAAGGCTATAGGCTATATATCATCACGCTAAGACCAATAAGAGCGGAGCACCAATGAAGAATGTTTCAAAAACGGAGAAAATTTATTACTATTGAGAGACGCAGACGAAGTTGCGCGGGTCAGCTAGTCATAGTATAAAAGTGTAAGTAAAAGTTGTGTAGATCCTCGATAGATGGCGTAAGGATCGAGTTAGGTGTCGATATGGTTTTGAGCAATAGTGTACGTAAATTTTTAGGAAAAATTGTTAATTAAGAGCAATTACATCAGATCAGGTGACAAATTGTTCGTTTATTTACTAACTTTGTTAAGTTCAAATTGTTCCACGAGAAGAAGCATCCTGCTACATCGACAGATGTGTGACCTTTGTAAAGTTATAACGGTAAGTGTAGAGCAGATTCCCACGTTTTAAAATAAATCATTTCGCCTGCGTCTTTAAAATACTTTAAATGGAATAATAATAATAAATAATAATATATTTATTTGTCAGAATATGGGTGTACAGAGTTGTTAGTGGGTACGTTTTAGATGCTAGCCACATTCTACCATTATCTGGTGAACAAAATGTTAGTATAGTGAATTTACTGTTTTTTTTTTACAATTTAATCATGCATTATTTAGTAATATAGTAATAATTATGTCACAATTTCTCATCGTCAAAAAATTCTTTGACACTAGAAACATTCATCTAAGAGCAACGTAAATAATTTTCTTTTAAAAACATTAATGGTATCTTCCTTAAATCTATTTGGTAGCTTGTTATAAATGTGTATAGCCATACAGTATACATTCCTACTATACATACTTATTCTTTGTCTGGGAACTAAGAGTTTATGTGTATTTCTGCTTGACCTGGCGACAGCGTCGTTATGTTTACAAAATAGCCGTTGATGTTTGTGCACAAAAACACAAATCTCGTAAATATACAGACTAGGTAGAGGTAGTATGTTGTATTTCTTAAAATGCTCTTTGCAATTCATGTAAACACGTTATACATGAAATGTCCTCTATAAGGTAAAAATGGAACCCTTATAAGATCACTTTCTTGTCCGTCTGTTTGTGTGTCACCATAGACCTAGCAAGTTGAAATTTTTACCTTATAAAACTGGTAAGTACCAAAATTTACCTTTAAAAGTACCAGAATTTAAAATATATTTTAATTTTTGTTAGGTACTTACTAATTTTCGCGAAAATCTACTTAAAATCTGGGTAGGTACGGAACCCTCGGCGCACGAGTTCGACTCGTACCTGACCGGGTTTTTTTTTATATTTTCTAGTTAGTATGACGGGCCTGTTGGTCTGTATTAGTATTTTCGTAGTAAAATAGTAAAATGTTACTAAGATTAGCAGATTACGAGATTCAATTATCGGTTACAATGCGATATAATCACATTACGGTCAACGTTGAATGATTAATACTTTACTATGAAAATACCTTTTCTGACAGTTGTGAGATCGAAAGTTGATTGGAACTGAATTGAGACCGAACTTTTATTACGAGGCTTGGCCCTTTGTCTGCTAAGCTGGGGGTCGTGGGTTCGATTTCCAACCAGGACAAATAATTATTTGATGAGCGTGATCATTTATTGTGTGTCTGGGTGTAATTTATCTATAATTTATATATGTATTTAGAAATATACATTGCTCTTCCCACCGAATAATATATCAATGTTATAGTTATAACGATACTTTTAATTTTATTGCAAAGTAGCTGGTGCCCGTGACTACGTTCGCGTGGCATTTGAAAAGCGCTGCCTTAGTGGGTTCGATTCCCGGACCGGGTATAATTTTATCGGGGTTTTCTGAGAGAAAAATAGCCAAGTAATTCCTGTATAGACAGCTACCTGGCAGTAAAATATTATCAAAATTGGTCCAGCCATTTTTATTGACGGCTTAATAAGTTGAAGAGTTGCATTGTTTGTCTCCGCAACTCATCATCAGATTTATATGAAATTTAAAAGGGACCATTTCGGAATAAACCCCTTTTTGAAAGAAAAAAGAATTTTGACGGAGTTATGCCCGAACATACATAAAAAAAACATATAAACATCCGAGGTGATAACCTCCTGTTTGAAGTCGATTAAAAACAGGAAACAGGTAAAGTATTCCAACAATACTATTCCTGTAGTAACTTTATTTGGTTATTGTTAGTTTTTATATTTAAGAAATAATAGCTAAAACTTTTGCAATAGTTTACTGAGAAAATGTTTCGCAGTTCTAACTTAACCTAAACTTGGTGTAATGTACAATCTGGTTAATTTATTGTGCAAGTGAGTATATTTGTTATACAAAACTCTCTAAAATAAACTAAAAATCACTAAAAATTAGTCCTGTCCAAATAACGTTTCCTATTCTGAAAACGTAGTATTGATAGGACTAAACAAATTTTTAGTAATTTTTAGTTTATACTAACTTTTAAACTTTCGCGTTCCATGATAATTAATATTATTTAAACCTGGTCGAAACGTCAGGCAAACCAGAGGTACCCTAAATAAGAGATCGCGTTAATTCCCGTTAAATAATATTAATTTTTAGTTTAGTTTAGAGAGTTTTCGAATAACAGAATTAGTACATATTTTTGTTTCACTCAGAGCACGATTACGATATTACCTCATTTATCTTTTTTATTAGGTTAAAAGCACATTTTATAGCTTCTCTTACGCCTATTTATAAATTTCATTTTAAACTATATTTTAAAAGGTGTGTGCATGAATATTTAATGTTTGATTTGGTCTGGATTTGAAGGAATTACTGCGACAGAGAGTAGCCGTAGTGATGACTGCAACATTTTACCAATAATTTGCTTGCTAGGCGTAAATTAGACCTGCGAATTGAATTTCTTAACTATATAGACAGCTGACTTATCAAGATATCCACCTCCGGTCTTAGAGAGGTGATGTGGGACTCCCACATACAAAGAAACAGAAACATACTACAGCGCCACCTAACGCAGACACACTAAACCGAACTCCTGAATGAGAATTTCTAATCCTGTATGGCTGTATAAGAAGAATTCTCTCGCTGATTAGGATATATAGGTACAACTTCCCAACATCAACCGCTGGGCCATGGACCGCCACGCATGATCACCTCGCCTCGTCAGAGGATCCTCCCGTTCCTCCACATCACATTACAGTCAACGTTGAATGTTTAATATTTTTACTACAAAAATACCTTTTATGACAATTGTGAGTTGATCGGAACTGAATTGTGACCAAACTTTTGACTAGATGATTTAACAGTGCGTCCATTACTACTAAGACCCTAAGAGATTATAGATTTGCTTAATCACTTATACAACGAAATTAGTATTGGATGAGGAATTTTGTATCTAAGTATAGAAAATTTAGCAAGTTTCGCTCGCAATTAAACACACATATTCTGGATTTAATTAGCCCATGATAACCGGTCATCAATCCGATCATACCTAAGTCCCCAAGTATGTTTAACTTCTAGAACACTGAAACTGCAATTAATGTTACACATATGTGCGGTGTGTGTGACGCTTTTTCCAGTGGATGCTGAAACCCAAGGGCGAATTCAGCTTTTAACTTCGTGTGGTGGAAATTTTGTAAAGTCAGGACATAAACCAAGCTCAAACTTGATTCATCAACATCATCATCATCAACAGCCTTTACTAGTCCACTGCTGGACATAGGCCTCTCCTTACAAAGGAGATTTTGGCCTACTACACCACGCTGGCCAGACGGCTTGGTATAGGGTTTGCGTCAAGTTTTCCTTCTTTTTGCAGTGCTGGTGTCCTGCGTTGTTTTGCGCACTTAGTCGGCTCTTACGACACCCACGGGATGAATTGGGGTAGTGACATTCCGTATTCTTAATCCGTCACTACATGGCCACTTCATTACCTACTCAAAATGATACGAACCAAACCCTTGAAAGCACCCCTTGGCTTTTTAAACCCAGATAAAGATAAAAAATCATTATTTTCAAAGTACGGAACAAAGGAAGAAACATCCTTTTGCGATTAACATTAAAAATTAGTCACATCCTCATCAATTCTCAAAATTTTAGAAACTGACTCATTTGTGATATACCAATTATAGTTAAAATATCTAAAACAAAAAAGTTTTGGTTTATTTTCAAAGATAAGATAATATTAGCCACCGAACTAATCTGTTTGTTTAAAATACCATTGGTAATTGATAGTATTCAATGGAATATGAAAAGACTGGCCGTTTCCTCTGATAAATGTACAGAAGCATCCCGTCCAGTATTATGATTATAAAATGCGACAGAATGGTCATTTCAAATTAAGAGTTTCTGCCTTTACGGGCTAGAAAGTTGTTTTCGCATATATAATATTAGTAGGGATGATCTGTCTTTTGATAAGCATATTTTTTTTGTATGTTAGGGAGCAGACGGGTCACCTGATGGAAAGTGACCATCGCCGCCCATGAACGTCTGCAACTCAGGAGTCACAAACGCATTGCCAGCCTTTTAAGAAGGAGTACGCTCTTTTCTTAAAGGTCGCATGTTGCATTATTCTTAAAAAGTGTATTTTTTTAATAACAAAACTTTTGAAATGCTTTTGCCTTAACATAGAATAAAGTCCATTGAATTTTAGTACATGTAATTGCGAGCTCGTAGGTAAAATACCTTAAACAGCATTCATGTGTTGTTTGTTTCTTGGTCTTTGATCAGGATTTACTCCACACAGTGTTGTACTGTACATTATGAGAACATTTAAAATGTGTCCTTTACAGCAACCAGTCTAGTCTACAATATAATATAAACATTATTTATACAAACATAATATATTAACTGTGTTCCAATCGTGAAGTTTAAAGTGAAAATGTTTTTAAATTGTTTAGTTTTGTTATTTTTCATCAATTTTATTGATGCAGGTATGTTTTTTAACTAAATTCACTAACAGATAAATACTAGGATAAGCTAGATCAAAAATTCGATTCGTTGGGATTTTGAAATTACATGTTCTTCCCAAATTAAGGCATCGGAGGAAAGCCGTCGGGTCGATTCTTAGTGAACACCACATACTCCTAGCTCCTGCATCGCCATGATGGCGATCCGAAGAGATTTTCCAACCCCTCATAAAAACATAAAAGACTAGAACAAAAAGTGTATTGCCTAGTCTAGCCTAGTTAAAATCTATGATCTTAAAACTGTCTGAAATTTGAGAAGTATTGGCTTGTTTGTTTATTTGTTGGGTTTACCGATTTTTAAATTCTTTTTTCAATGAAAATCTACATTATCAGCGAGTAGCACAGGCTAATTTTTCCGCGATAACCGACCGGCAATACCCATATTGTAATAAAACTAGTCAATATACATTAATAAATGTATATTTATAATAAAACAATCTATTTATTTTAAGGCTGTATGCGTTGATTGCACAATATACATTTGTGTGACACAAATGTACATTTAAGTCGCACACCATAGCAGTCAATAAATGCTTAAATAAGGGAAATAACGTAGAAAAAACCTGCATATTATACAATCACTAACTCTTTGCACGCGGCGTCGCTCGCATGAGACTATTAATTTTATTGATTATTAACCATGGGAGAGTTATGCTTCGGCACATATGTCCGTGTGGTGACGGATTAAGAATACGGAGAGTCACCACCCTTATTCATGGGTGGGTGTAGTGAGAACCGACTAATAGAGCAAACTACGCAGAACAGCACTACGAAGACAATTAAACCTTGACACAAACTATACCAACCCGTCTGGCCACCGTGGTATCATCATCATCATCAGCCTATCGCAGTCCACTGTAGCGTGGTATAGTAGGCCAAAACCTCCTTTCTAAGGAGGTGCCTATGTCCAAGAGTGGACTAATAAAGTCTGTTGATGACGATGAAGAGATATGGACAGGCTCAACTAGAGTGATGCCACGGCTTCACAGAAAACCTATGTTAAGCTATACATATATTTCCACTACTACTATCCGTGCTGTTTTTAACGACATCTATTCAAATATATAGTAATATCACAAAGCTAAAGAGTATGTTTGTTTGAACGTGCTAATCTCAAGAACTACTGTTCTAACTGAAAAAATCTTTTAGATATAGATAGCCCCTTTATTGAGGGAAGCTATATAACATCACGCTTTGAGAAAGAGGAGCCGAGCATCAATGGAAAATGTTGCAAAAGCATCATCATCTGCTAGTTTTACAAAATTATTATAAATACAAGACATAAATATTTACAGGAAGGACAATAAACAATGTATTATTATTATTGTTATCAGAATATTGAAATTAATGGGAAATACTCATGTACTTACCTATGTTCTGTATATAGCATTATTTTCATTATCCTCCAGTACTGTCTGATAAGAACGATCTGTTTGAAGTACCTTATAAGTGTGGGAAATAATTAACAACTCTTCTGTTTTAAAGTAAATTTATAATAATCACAAAACCTGACGACACGATCACACAGAATACTCAAACATACTAAGCTAACACGCATTAGATACATTCATTCAAAAATTTCAACATAAGACACATTTCGAAACAAAATTATGCATGTTATGTTCGTTTTGTATAAATTCACATCACCATCACATCAACAGCCGTTAATAGTCCACTGCTGGACATAGGCCTCTCCTTAGAAAGGAGGTTTTGGCCTACTCTACCACGCTGGCCACACGGGTTGGTATAGGGTTTGTGTCAAGTTTTCCTTCTTTTTGCAGTGCTGGTGTCCTGCTGTTTTGCGCCCTTAGTCGGCTTTTACGACACCCACGGGATGAATTGGGGTAGTGACATTCCGTATTCAGCGATACAGGCTTTGCGAAGTGCAGCATTCACTAATAATGTAATGACATAACTGGACTGCTGATAAATAAATATTATTATAATATTTAAGCTAAGAAAGTGTCTCCATTAATTAACTTACTGTATACCAGTATAAGGATTAAGACTACGGAATGTCACCACCCCATTTTTTTAAGTGTAGAAACCCCCTCGGGCCGTCACCCCACCGGGATTTGCGGCGGGGTGGTGCGTCGGAATCGGATTGGATTAAACCATACGGTGTGCCACTCTGGGCCTGTAATAGGAGGCCTCCGGGAACTACTATTATTAAGACATCCGGACCCTTTCTAGCGCCTGCCCGCAACAGCACGGGCACAACCTTCGGGTACATTCTCTATTTAATAATCTTCTTGAGTATCTAAATGTTAAACCAAAAAATGTTTAAAACTAGCTGTACCCTCCACGCTTAACTGTGACACATTGTGGATGCATTGATAAGGAATGAAAAAAAAACTGACAGGAAAAATAGATAAAAACAATATTTGAAGAGGTTTGTTGATCGTGCCAAAACTTGAGTATAACCGGTACAGAACTTTTTGGGTTTCTGAAGTGTATACAAGCCAACTTAACTTTTAGATGTGCATATATACGAATGAATAATAATAATGAATTGACGGGCCTGTTGGTCGAGTGGTTAGTGCCCCTGACTGCTAAGCCGGAGGTCGTGGGTTCGATTCCCACCCAGGACAAATATTGTGTGATGAGCATGATCATTTGTTCTGTGTCTGGGTGTAATTTATCTATAATATGTATGTATTTAAAAATATATAAGTATTTTTATCAGCAGTCTGGTCACCATAGCACAGGCTCTGCCTAGTTTGAGATCAGACGGCCGTGTATGAAATGTGTGAGGTATATTATATTATTATTATTAATATTAGTTAAAATAAGATTACCTTTTATATCTAATTAACATCTGAAATCAATGAATAGCTTACCCAACAGTTGTACTATTTTTAAACAACAATTGTTGATTGTATAACAAAACTACTGACTTCTAGAACAATCACAATATTTTGTAACAAACGTAAGTATAATAGCTTTCCATAAAAAACATACATAAATAACTTATTTTTTTTGTTTTTAAAAGGCCCCTCTCGCTAAGCTAAATTGCTTGTGTTAGGAGTGGGTTCACGTCGGTAGTGTTCTGGTTAGGATTTGAACCCACGACCTCTTGATCGCAAGTACAACGCCTTAACCACTAGGCTATAGCCGCTTTAACTTAACTAATTTAAATAGGGCTGTCAAGTCAGTATCTTTTTATGTAAACGATCATTGTATCTAAACGATAGACGTATATGAAATTATGAGGAGTGATGTCATACTTCTTAGAAGTTATTTTGTTTGCTTTTAATATTACCAACTATAGTCCGTCAACGTCGTGCGCGACCGTCCTGCGGGGTGACAGACGGTGGCGGGGACGAGGTACTCAAGATTTCAGCGGGTAGCGGGTGGTGTAGCGGGGAAGGGAATCGTATGTAGCCGTGTGCTAGAATGACGCGCTACCTCGCCCCCGCCACTGTCTGTCACCCCGCGGGACGGTCGCGCACGAGATTGCCGGGTTATAGCTGCGCCTTGCAGTGTTACCTGCGATTGTTGTTGTACCTTGTTCATCCCACGAGATCACTACATTTTTTCGGCATAAAAAGTACCTTATGTGGTCTTCCAGACTGTAAACTATCTCTGTGCCAAATTTAATCCAGACCCGTTTAGCCGTTTTTACGTGAAAGAGTAACAACAACATTGGTAATAGTGCACACCGACATCACCTAAGGAAAATTTGTGCTAAATTCCGAGTCAGTTCAATTTGACACGAAAGGGGGAAACGTGGTAGTATTTGCGAAGGTAAATGGCGAATCGAATGCAGTTATTTAGAAGGCGATCATATTTATTGAAGAGATCTGTATTCAGGTCATAACAGCATACATCACCATAATCCAAGACGGAGATAAAAAGGGTCTGTAATTGTACTAGCATCGCTTTTGTCTCGGAAGGAAGCTGTTAAGGTGTTTTAGTTTTATCGTATGCTAAAAATATGCTTATTTTGTCTTCATGTTAAGGTACATAGACACATGTCATCGTACAGTCGTGAATGGGCACAGAAGCGATAGCGACGGATGTGGTTATATAGGCGTTGAAAAGTTTTACGTACGTAATTATGTAGTACGAATAAAACATTTATTTATTTATTACTAGGTGACCCAGCAAACGTTGTTCTGCGATATAATACTAAAAACGCCATTAAGAAATATTGCCGTGAGGGTAGAGGGTGAAAAATACTTTACGACCTATTATCATACCTACTAATTTAAAAAATTAACTAATCAAAATCGGTGGAGCCGTTTCGGAGAAGTGCGATCACAAACACCGTGATACGAGACATTTATGTTTATATTAAATGTCACAGGTTATACAAAAATATGAGTGTGAAACTTATAAAAAATTTTTTTTTTACTATAATATGTACAAATTATTATACGTTGACACTATCACATCATCATCATATTAACAGCCTTTAATAGTCCACTGCTGGACATAAGCCTGTTCTTAGAAAGGAGGTTTTGGCCTATTATGCATCGCTGGCATTCGCTGGTCAGACAACTTGGAATAAGATTTGTGTCAAGATTGCCTTCTTTTTGCAGTGCTCTGGTGCTGCGTAGTTAGCTTCTTTAGCCGGCTATTGCAATACCCACGGGATGAATATTGGTGGTGACACTCCGTATTCTTATTTCGCCAGCACACGGATCCGTATGATGACGTTGACACTATGTTGTCGTATGGTTGTCCAGAAAAACGTAACGAGGTCATTCGATTACAACATTTTACTCTTCAAACATAAAAAAATATTCTTAAGGAGTAAACACAAACACCAAAAAAATTAGTAGGCGGTATCATTTGGAGGTAATTTGGACTCATGATGTCTCTCCAATTACGTATATGTCCCGAAGGGGGAGGCAAAGGAGTAAGTTTGTTCAGTTTAGTTCGCATAGGAGCCTGTAGAGGCTTTAATTATTTTTTGTCAAAAACTACTCCAGTTTAAGGAAGTTGACCAACTTCGGTCATATCACACTCTGTATTCTTAATCCGTCACCACACGGACGTGCTAGGGTGGAGACTGCAATTAGACAAATGTAGTGTAGAGCGCCCTGCGTCACGATGGACCGACGACTTATAGAAAGTGGCTGGCAGCGGATGGACCTGGACTGCCCAACACCGAGATAGTTGACGCTTCTCAGGGTAGGCCCTCGTTCAGCAGTGGACGGTGATAGGCTGACGATGATGACCCAATTTTAGCAAAGCAGTTTTCAACTCTGAAACTGCCCTCAACTTAAGGCAGCACAACTGGATGTCATACTTCTCGGTCTCCTCACCTCCTAATGTTTCTCAGGAGAAAAATATATCAGACGTGGTAACGGGCCAGGTACCGCATGCGGCTCAGGCGCAGGAGGACTCTGAACGACATCCATCCTACATAAGAGCAGGACTGGTTGTGACAGGTGAGGCCATATGTGTCATACTAGCAGAAGAAGGCGGGGGAGTGGCTGTTCAACTGCGGACATTGTGGTCCCCAGACAGAATTGCCCCATCTATAAGCCGTAGATGGCCTTGCGTCCGTCGGGATACCAAGGATATCCTTTCTAGGTCACCCCTGGTTCACCGGCTGTTGGTACGCGAGAATGGGCGGGGTGCGGTTTTTAGTCGCTTCGAGTCGTATATAATTATCCCACCGGTCCTCTGGTATTATTCCAGTGGAGTACTGCACAGAATAAAGGGGGAAAATATCGGCTTAAATAATATCCTTATACATCGCTATGCAGAAGTTATCATAAACATACATTTATGTACAATCTTCTGTAAGTGAGTTCAGTGAGGTTATATTCAAATTCAAATTATTTATTTTGCAGAAAATTCTGTTACAATGTGTTACAATTATAGGTGTTTCAATTCAATGTGCTTCTACATTAATGGGATGCAAAATTATACAATTGTGGTGAAACATTATAAAGTTAGAAAAAAATATTTTAAGATATCAAATTAATGTAATGAAGTTATGATAATACAGATTATTTATTTATAATTCATTGATAACTATTTACTCAACTCAATATATATTTCTTAAATTATTCTCAGTGGTAGCATAAAAAGTGGTAAAATATTAATGACATATTTCTGTTTCATATTAAATTAAATATTATCAAATTAAACAGAAAAAGAACAAGAAAAATATTTCAATCCGAGAGAAGTTAAATTAAATGTTAAACCGCACGGATGGCGTAGTGATTTAAGCGGTCGCCACGCCGCTTCCTACTACGTGTAATCCACAAAATGTTGTTCTGAGTCTGGGTATTATTTGTGTCCGTTTCATGTATGTTTGGAAAGTCCCCCGCGACACCGAATATATCCCTAGTGCAGGAGTTGTCTTTTTATAAAATAAATGTCTATCACTAAGGACATCTACAGAATAATGGCATTTAGTAGATAAAAGGTTTCTTAGCAGATAGCTTACGTTTAAACAAGGTAACGTTAAGATTCTTGTATGCCTTAGGTCATTTTTGGAGCCATACACAAGACGTTTAGACTAAATAGTGCTGTTTTTGCTGTCTGCATACATAACCAACTATTGTCACGGCGATTGCGGATAGTGACGTCTGACATTTTGCGAAAGAGATTTGGTTTGACATTTACAAATTATAGAAAGAAACAAATGATCCTAGGCAATAATATCGTTATAAATAAACAACATAAAGTTATCTGCTTATATTACAAATATGGAGTATAAAATTTATCAACCGGACGCACGCTCTTGACTGTTCCTATGACGTCAAACTTCCGTTGAGGACATAACAGCGCGTGTGAAATTTCATGTTTATATTATTAAATTTTTCCGTGCAGAACCCATTTTAGTTAATATAAATCCAATTCAGAATCTCCGTCTAAAATTGTTTCACATCAACATCCTTTAATAGCCGACTGCTGGACATAAGCCTCACCTTAGAAAAGAAGTTTTGGCCTATTGTACCACGCTGGCCAGACGGGTTGTTTGTTAGTTGAACGTGTCAAGTTTGCCTTCTTTTTGCAGTGCTGTTGTCCTGCATAGTTTGCTCCCTTAGTTGGCTTTTACAACTAAGGCCGCAAACTAGGTAACAAAAGGTATTTTACCTGCGTCAGGGAATTCCAATCTTTCAACATATCTTCAACATATCTTGCCATCCATACACAAGACAAGTAGACCACTGTCTCACAGAAAAACCGGTCTTAAGCAATTATTTTGTTGCATTTTGGTAAGTGTGTGTGTGAATTGAGAATTGAGGGGCGGGAGGGGGCAAGGTAATTATGTGGCTTGAGTTGCAGATATCTTTGGGCGGTGATATCCACCATCTGTTCGTTTTGCTTATTATTATTACTGATAAACTTATAAAAACTCTTTTCATTTTCTAGATTATGTATACCCATACCAGCGCCAACCGTCTATTCGGTGCCCAATGCCGGATAATGAAAATATTATAACCCGTATGATGCAGAGGGGAAAATTTGTCAAGTTCTCCTGCCGCAGAGGATTTACCATGATGGGTAACAAATACGCCACGTGTAGAAATGGAGATTGGGATGTTCCGCTACCTATCTGTATCAGTAAGTGTATGAAGTTTGAAGTAATTCAGAAACAGAGATAGGACCTAAACTGTCCTATACTGTTGTTTACACACGAAAAAAGCGGCCCAAGTCAATGGTGACTTGGGCTGCCATACATAGATTTATCACCCGTGCTAACAGAATGGAATTTTAAAGAAATTAAATACTTTTTTTCGTGTGTAAACAACTCGAAGGAAAATAAAATTAAAGTTGGGACGATCTAGCATGGTATGGGCTGCCATACATAGATTTATCACCCGTGCTAACAGAATGGCATTTTAAAGAAATTAAATATTTTTTTTCGTGTGTAAACAACTCGAACGAAAATAAAATTGAAGTTGGGACGATCTAGCATGGTATGGACCATGCTAGATCGTCCCAACTTCAATTTTATGGTTCTTAAATTACAAATTTGTTCTTGAGTTGCTCAAGAAACTGAACTAAGGGAGTTATGTCGAATCTGAGAGGAAACTTACACAAATACTATCAGAGATTAGATCTCCTGATTCATAGTTTTGATTATAAGTAAAAATGGGGATTTAATCCTCAACTGAAATAATTATAGTTATACCAAAAAATTTGAATGCATTTTGTTTGTTATTAGAATCAGGTTGCGAACCATTAGAAGAAGTAAGACATTCAGTGAAGCAATCATACCATAACGGAGCGTGGGTGCTGTTCTTCTGCTTACCAAGATACGATCTCGTTGGATCTTCTGTTCTGTACTGCGATGGAAACCATTGGAACGCCACAGCTCCTAAGTGCATTGGTAAGATACAAGTTCGTCTTATTTTCTTTTATTTTTTAACAAGACAACTCTTTCCTTTCCCCAAGAAGAACGACTCGAATCGTCTACCTTCAAACCTTCAAGAAAAGAGTGTACTCCTTTCTAAAAGGCCGGCAACGCGTTTGTGACTCCTGAGTTGCAGACGTTCATGGACGGCGATGGTCACTTTACATCAGGTGACACGTCTGCTCGTCTGGCCCCCTAAGATAAAATAAAAATGACCGCGAAACTGAACGTCGCTCGAGATGTCGATGCCTAGGATTCCGACACTGGCTGAGGCAGTTAGGGAGGTGCTCTCGAGCCGAGGCGATACAACAAACGGTATCTTTTTTGCAGTGAACGCGCAAACCTCTGTCTTGTTTGGGTTAAAATGGGCTAGATTCAGACGAGCTCAATCTGAAACCACCGCTAAGGAAGTTTTAATTTGAGATACAAGTTTGTTTCGACTCTCGACCGAGAAATATTGGGGCAACTGGTATAAAAGGCATCTCCAATGTTAACATCTGCATAGCAATGGATGCTACTAGATCACAAGATATCATTTATATGCAGAAGAAACAGTGTGGGTGATAGCACACAGCCTTGCGGGCAGCATTTACTGACTTCAAGTCCGAGTATGCAACGTCGATAACAACCTTAATGCTTCTGCCTCCAAGGAAACTGGTGACCCAGTTACATAATTTCTCGGGAAGCCCATAGGAAAGGACTATAGGATAAAAGCGCCTCATGCCACACCCGATCGAATTCCTTCACTATGTCCAAGCTTACCGCACAAACCTCTGCCTTGGTCTCGATCGCCTGTGGCCACCGGTGTGTTAGATAGACGAGAAGATCACTAGCTGAGCGACCCCGACGAAAACCATATAGTCGGTCATTGAGTAGCTGGTGATTTTCTAAATACCGGCGGAGCTGGCAGTTGATAACGGATTCCATAATCTTAGAGAGCAAGGGGGTTATGGCTACAGGCCTGTAGTTGGACGGATGAGAGCGGTTACCTTTTTTATGGATCGGGTGCACAAACGCGCATTTCCAGTAGTTCGGGACGACGCCTAGGAAGTAGGAGAGTCGAAAAGGCGGGTTAAAACCGGTGCCAACTCTGGAGGAGGGAGATTCCATCGGGCCCATTCGACTTTGTTAGGAAGTTGTTTGGTTGATGTTGGGAAGTTGTATATATGTTAATCGGCGAGAAAAATCTTCATATCGCGATACAGAAATTAGCAATTCTCATTCAGGAGTTACTCATTAGTTTGGTGTGGTTTCGTTAGATGGCGATGTAGTATGTTTCTGTTTCTTTGTATGTGCGAGTCACCACGTAAGTATGGGTGATAAATTGACATATCTCACACAAGGCAAGGGACTGCACGGATGGCGTAGTGGTTTAAGAGGTCACCACGCTGCTTCCTACTACGCCGAGTGTTGTGGGTTCAAACTCCACATGGGACGACACTTTGTGTGATCCACAAATTGTTGTTCTGAGTCTAGGTGTTCTTTGTGTCCGTTTCATGATATATTCCTAAAAAAGGCCGTCTGATCTTAAACTAGACGGAGCCTGTACTATAGTAGTCAGACTGCTAACAAATATACATATATAACTAAATACATACATGTTACAGATAAATAGCACCCAGACACACAACAAATTACCGTTGCTCATCATATTATTTGTCCTGTGTAAGAATTGAATATACCTAGATCTTTGGCTTAGCGACATTACTAACTATTAGACTAACGGGCCAACCAACAAACCCTTAAAGTACGTAAATAATACATGGAAATGTAAAATCGTTTACATAGATGAATTTAAATGTTATTTTAAATAAGTACCCTGTGTCCTACCACGCTTTACTGATAGCACATTGTGGTTGATGAGAAATAATAAATAAAAGTGGCGCAAAAATGGATAAAACAATCTTTGAAATGGGTTGTATGTCGTCTTAAAATATGAGCTCAATCGGTGCAGAATTTTTTGAATTTTCGTAGCGTACACAAACCAACTTCACATTTTTTAATACATTCAGTCAAAAAAGTATCGGGAATGGATGATTTGTTTATGGTTCCAATTTTAAATTTTTGTTTTTTTTGTGGTTGTTGGATTAGCACAACTGTTGTCCATTTTGGCGCGGAATTTGAGTTGCATCTGTTATTACACGCGTTTTATTAGCTTCACTTGTATGTTTGTTTGTAACCGACTCCTTTAGGCGTGATTTTGACTGACTTTAAACGGTCCGAATTCGTTCAAACTTTGTAGATATATCGAGAACTATGACAATACACTAATTTGACATAAAAAAAATAGATATGAATAGCCATAAGAACATTAACTAAAGATTTTTTATATAGATTCATCAGCTCAATCGAAGACTTCGTGCGACTTTGAAAAAGATCTCTGTGACTGGAGACAAGATGAAATGCACGACTTTGATTGGAGAAGAATTAACACAAAAACTCCTAGCAGTTTCATGAATACGGGACCACCATATGACCACACTTTGGGCAAGAATGGCAACGGTAAGAATACTGAGTTTATCTTCAGAGACGTTTAAAGTAAAATGACAATGCTAAAGTTTTCTTGTGTCACGCGGTCTTCGTGTTTTATGTTATGGTAATTTTAAAAGTGTATTCTATGTACAAGGCGATAAAAATCAAATTCCTATAAATCTACAAAACCGTTTTAATCGTCAACCACGTCATTAAAACTGCATTCGTTGACGAAGATTATAAGTGATATAAAATCACTTAGGAACTAGGTAATCACCATGAAAAAGGCGACCGGGGAAAAATTTGTTTTATACTTGTAAATATCTAAAAATAAAGTGGATACCTACTGTTTCTCACATGCGGTTGGATCGTTTTAGAGAACATTAACAGTAATATATAAACACACTACTTTCAAAAAGAAGAACATATTATTATGTCTAATATTATATTTACAGGTTACTATATGTACATTGAAAGTACGAGCCGTTTCGAGAACGATACTGCTCGCCTGATATCTCCAGTTTACAGCGAAAGTCGCGCAGAGAACGGCTGTTTTGTTTTCTACTACCATATGTATGGAAGGTATGTATATCGTTCTTCTGTTTACTTCTTCTACTAAGAGCTTGCCCGAGTTTCCTTAGCAGATTAGTTTGAGGACCAGTTTGGGATGGATGGATGGATGGATAAGACGCACTTGTGACTGTTGAGTTGCAGGTATAAGCGACGGTAATTAATTACCATAACGTGATTCGTCTGTTCGTTTGCCTTATGTAAAAATGCAATACATTGTTCTATGGCCTAACCACCATACTAAAATTACTGATATGATATAATTAATTTTTAAATGTCTCGTGCTGTTTCTGAACTAACTAATCTCAAATTAATTTATAGATCACTAGCTGATCCTGCAAACGTTGTTTTGCCATTTTTTTTTTAAATTTTCAACTCCCCCGCACAGTTCTCTGGGGGTGGAATTTCGTAAAATCCGTTCTTAGCTGACCTCTACTCGGTGAAACGAATATTCCTACCAAATTTCAAGTCTTTAGCTCTAATGGTTGCAGAGATATCGTGATGAGTGACTATATACGTGGAAATCTCTTATATATACGACTATATAGATTGATTAGTTAGAAACTTGTTTATTCAAGTCATAACATCGTCAACTTTATTTGTCCTAGATTGGGTTATATGCAGGAAGAGTATATTGTAATAAACCCATACATTATAGATCTCTTTTTGGTTCTTAATAAACCCCTTCGACTAATGAAGATTACTTCTATACGTTTGTTGAGGTCTTACATCCGCCACGCCATCTTACAAAAGTATTGGTCAGACCCCTATGCCACCTATAATAAAGTCCACAATGCACTGTAATTAACTTCAGATTTTTTAATTAGTGGTTCGTGATACGGTCATTAGCACATAAAACTTGTTAGACAAACTATTCTGACCGATGTTAGACAATATTCTTTTTTTATGAATTAGGGGGTAAACCAGCAAATAGGTTGGCTGATGGTAAGTGACTACCAAGAGTCACAAGTGCCTTGACGACCGTTGAGTCTCTCCTCTCCCAGATCAGGGGGAGGGAGATTCGGGAACCTCACTTACTGGGTGAAAATCACTGAGAGAATTGCTAAAAACACTGATTAAAGGAAATATTGTAATTTTTAAGAGCAGACATAAATTTTGTCTTTTATCCAATAAGTTGTTAATCATAGCTGAGAAATTATAAAATTGCGTGATTTGTTCTTTATAATTTAAACACGACTCATACTAACACTAGCTGGTTTGTACCCGCTACTTCATTCGCGTGGAACTTGGAAAGCTCTGCCTTAGTGGTGTAATACGGTACGTGACTGCAGTCCCTGAAGCCTCGGGTTCGATTCCCAGACCGGGATTTTTTTTAAGGGTTTTTCTGAGAGAAGAAATAGTCTAAGTTTCTCCTGATATAAACAGCTACCTGGTTGTAAAATATTATCAAAATCGGTCCAGCTGTTCTGAAGATTCTCAGGCACAAACAGACAGACAGAAAGACAAAGAATATTTAAACTGGTTTTTAGGCATAGGTATCGGGCAAATAACCGTGTAAGCATAAAAAAAACTTCAATTTTTTTTTTTAGATATTTATTTTTGACATAATTAGAGTATTGTTTACAGACATATCGGTGGTCTTCGAGTGTACCAGAAACCAGATAGGATAAGCATACAAGATCTTCTTCACTTGGGTAATACAGGGCGAAACAGGTTCTTGTTGTTTGAGAAGTGGGGGAATCAAGGTGACTTCTGGTTTGCCAGCGTCTCTACTCTTCTAAACGTCTCTGACGACTTCCAGGTAATACTTGCTGACGAATTTCTTAACTCTTAGGACGTCGTGACGCGCGGATGACCTATGACCCGTTACTGTCGCGCCCTTGAACTAGTGACCCAGTCACAGCTGAGCGAAGTCATTATTACCTCAATATCTACGTTAATTTATAATTATATTCAATGAAAAAACATATTTGGAATCCCTGATATGTATTCTTCTAAATGTTGTGACAGAGACGCTACCGCGTAAAAATTTGGTGTCACAACTGTTGTGACGGCGACGCGTCGGAGGTTAATTATTTGTATTTTCTTTTACTTTCTAATTTACTTCCTTATCATGCTGTTTATCATTCGTATACTGTAAAGATAAATTTACTAAGATGAGGTGGTTAAGTTTTAATACATCTGTTTTTGAAATCCGCAGATCGTGATTGAAGGTATCAGGGGAAACGGTTTCATAAGTGATATAGCGATTGATGATGTCGCCCTTCTACAAGGGGAAAACTGCATTAATTTGCGTTTGGATGCCACCCCTATGCCACCAACAGTCTGTAAGTATAGGTAAAAGCAGTAACAGTGGACTATTAAAGGCTGTTGATGATGATGATGTTCTGTACTAGTATTTGCATGTAGACGTGGCAATGGTCAGATTTACATGTGTGTTATTCTGGTAACTACCTATCATCATCATCAACAGCCTATAATATTCCACTACTGGACATAGGCCTCGTCTTAGAAAGGAGGTTTTGGCCTACTATACCACGTTGGCCAGACGGGTTGGTATAGGATTTGTTTCAAGTTTTCCTTCTCTTTGCAGTGCTGTTGTCCTGCGTAGTTTTTTCCCTTAGTCGGCTATTACGACACCCACGGGATGAATAGAGGTGGTGAGATTCCGTCACCATACGGATATAGTACAATACGGTTTAATATGAATGTGTGAATTGTTACTAACTAGTTTCATCACTCATATATTTACAATTTATTATTGCTTGAAAACAATTCTACGTTATTTATTACCCGACTGCGCCAGAAGGAGGGTTATGTTTTTCGAGAGTATGTATGTATGTATAATGCGCTCTACGGCCTGAACGGCTCTGTGGATTTTAGCTGGAGAGGTGTTGTTAGATTAGTATTTACTGTGAGAGTGACACTGGGTATATCAAAATAAAAATATAAAGGCGGAATTTTGGCGCCAAATTCAAATGTTTGGCACGCTCTGCCTGAACGACTCGATGGACTTTTTCACGCAGTCGGGTGTTTTGTTTTTTCAATAATTAGCTAGTTAGCTTCAATTTTTCTTTTTTTTTGTTATTTTTATGTTAGAGGGGGCAGACGAGCAAAACAAAAAACTTTCTATGTACAGAAATTATTACTAAATGAAATATTTTATATTTAGGAAACAGATTGCCAATGTACAAGTATATATTATATTATATACACACGGCCGTCTGATCCCAAACTAGGCATAGCCTGTACTATGGTAACCAGACTGCTGATAAACATACTTATATATTTTTTAAATACATACATATTATAGATAAATTACACCCAGATACAGAACAAATGACCGTGCTCATTACACAATATTTGTCCTGGGTGGGAATCGAACCCACGACCGGCTAAAGCAGTCAGGGTCACTAACCACTAGAACAATAGGATTCGGATGTGGAATTCCAATGGTAGTTGTAGAATAATTCTAATATAGAGTTCTAATTAAAAACATTTTATATCGCACATGAAACTGTTCTACTCAGGACAACAGCACTGCAAAGAGCAGGAAAACTTGACATAAACCCTATACCAACCCGTCTGGCCAGCGTGGTATAGTAGGCCAAAACCTCCTTTCTAAGGAGAGGCCTATGTTCAGCAGGGGACTATTATAGGCCGTTGATGATGATGATGAAACTGTTTTGAATCTATTTGCATTTATGGCTCACAGATAGTTCAGACTCGTGTGTTGGCCGCTGTTCAGACTCGACCGTTGGATCGTGCGGCTGCGAACCTTACTGTTTTGCAAACAGCTCTTGCTGTCGTGACTACCTGGAAGTTTGCGTGTTTGGTAAGGATAATTTAATAATATTACAATGTCTTTCTTTAGCTCATAGGCATAAAACATAAAATAATAATCAATTGTCACAATATCCCAACAACATTATTTGATAAAACAGAGATTGTTGCTATTGTGTGTGCGATTACAATTTTCAAATTTTTATGAAATAAAGAGAGTTTGAACAACTATACAATTTCGTTACAGTTTAATTCATGGTTAACTAATACACTAAATATAAATAAATTATTATTTTAATGGTATTTTTATTAGGTCATCGTTGGGATATTATGGACTCGTATTACGTGACAACAAACAGTATGACGCTGTTTTATATCTCCGACGTCACTCAAACTTAATTGTGCATGCACGTATATATTTACATGTGCATTTAATCCAGTTTAAAATAATAAATTAAAATCAACATTTTTTGCACCTTCATCTGTAAGTTGAAATAATATATAATTCATTACAGCGAGCTCGACAGAAGATTACAATTCTTCGACACTAGAATTGCCGCAAACGCAAAAGCTAATCGCTTCACCTAAAACTACTTACAAAACAACTACTATGACATATTCAACTACAACTCCTCGTGCTCGCACTAGAGCTCAGACTACTTCAACAACAGCTCAGACTACTTCAACAACTACTCAGACGACGACAACAACACAAAGTACTTCAACTACAACTCGCCGACCACCAACAACTGCTGGCACAACCAGTACAACTAAGCGTTTGGTACCAACAACACAACGTACACAAAAAACCACTACGAGAAAACTTACAACACCTAGATGGACTAGACCAACAGCTCGTGTGAAAACGCTAACAACAAAATTAACGACCACAACAACAACTCCTGTACCAACTGCTGCAACAACTAAACGTCCACCAACTATTTCGACTACCTTGAGTACCACTAAGAGAGTGATGTTTACTGAAACAATGAAGTCCAGACAGTATACGCCACTTTCTCATAACCTCATCAGCCCCAAACCTCAAGGTAAGACAATGTTTTTAAATTATTTATATTATCTTGATCTGTATCTATCTCATCATTATTGTCGGCACAATGTTGGAAAGAACACATGGGGAAGAACAATGTTGAAAACAGTGGAAAGAGTTTTGCCAGGTTTTCGCGCTAATCTTACTAGGAGACATATAGGATGAGAAAGCTAGGGGAATGGATTCTGCGAGCGCGTTGCGAAGCGCACTAGGGTATACCTGGTTCCCCGGCTATTAGTACCCGAGACGTCGTGCGGTGTTAGTCGGTTCGGGTCCGACATGCCACCGACAGGTGGTATCTGAGGGGATTTCCGCACGGAAAACAAAAGGGGAATGGATTCTGCAAGTCTCGGATTGAAAACGGAAAGGAGACTGCTGAAGTTCGATTTTTTTTTTTTTTTTTTTTTTTTATTTATTTATTTATTTATTGAGGATTGGGAAGAGACTTTTTTTATTATTGACCGCAGACGGAAAACTTAAGAGTTTAGTTATTAGTGTAAATAATAATAATAACTTTAAACATCTCATAAACATACTTTTTTATATATCATAGACAAGTACTCCTACACCCAGAACAAATTATTGTGCTCATTACACAATATTTATTCTGAGTGGGAATCGAACGCTAGCCCACTGGTTTGGCAGTCAGGGACATTAACCATTAGACTAACATGCAACATATAACTTTGTGTGTTATGTCTCTGTTTATATTATAATAGTTTTTATTATATTTCCAGGTACAAACGGAGCCATAACAGCAGTAATAGTATTGTTAGTATTAGGAATATGTTGTGGTATATTGTACGGCGGGTACTACCTGCGCACGAGTCGCGGTAGCGAGGCGCTGGCGCGACTCCGCGGCCGCGCCACACGGGACTCTGAAGTGCGCTTCTTAAAATCTGACGTAGATGACATAGATGATGAATAAATATGGCTTCTAAATTCAAATTTGTTTTTTTTTATTAATAGTAATAATCATTTCTTTCAGGTATAAACCCATAGGCAAAATCACAAAATCATAAAAATCACACAATTACAAAATCATAATACTACAAAATTAAAATAACAAAAAAAAAAACAAAAAAATATTACCACATTTTTTTCTTTTTTAAAGACAACTCCCGTATTAGGAATACATTCCTGTGTCGCGGGGGACTTTACAATAAAAGAATTAAATTAATCATCATTTCCCGTCCCTTTTTAATATTACAGTTACATTCATATTACGGCAACATACAAGGAAACAGAAGCATATTTCAGTGCCATCTAAGGAAGACAATTTGAACTACAGAGACAGTGCTAATCCTGTATCGCGATAGTAAAATTTCTCATGGCGATAGATAGATGGATAACATCACAGCATTGAACATTTTATTTATCCAATTTATTGCTTATTTTTTATCATGGACACACCAACAGTATACATATACAACGTTGTTCAAAATACAGTTCAATATAAAGGATAGTTCTTATACGTAGACCAATCAAAGGCAAGTCAGTATAATTTACATCACTAGATAGATACGCACTCCAGCTGTAGCAAGGTTAAGACTAAACTGAACAAAAATAACATAAATATAGTACTTAGAAATTACAAATAAATTAATTTAAATAATTAAAGTTTTGAATCATGTAAACGATTTCATTATTATATACTTAAAGTATCCAATTGATCGATTTTAATTATAATTGTGACACGCACGTACCAAAGGCGAGTTTAGTCCAAGATTAGTTCTTGACAGTGGTGGGCAGAAAGTTCTAGTTAAGGGATGCGAGGAATTTCAAGCATTAGGCAGTTTGATAAGTAACTGCAGTCGATATTATTATTGTTTATTTGTCTAAACTACATTTTGAAATACTCTACTCTCTCTTCGTAACTGCATCTGTTTAATGCCTTTCGAGATGAAAGCCAAGTGAATGCGCGCTGTATACTTTTTATTCGGCGTGAATATACTCGTAAGGCGTAAAAAGGATTCCAGACTAGGCATCCAAACTTCAAATGACTTTGAACTAGACTTGCAACGAATAGTATATTCGGCAGTATACCGAATACCGAATATTCGGCGAGGCCCCTGACCGAATAGCCGAATATTAGGCAAAAGTATTCGGCTGGATTTTAGCTCCAAAAACTTGTACAGACGTGAATTAAATTATGTACCTGTTTTATGTACCAATGACTACTTAATAAATGATTATAAAAGAAATGAGAACCTTACCCTTCTAAATTTTGATTACCACAATAATTCAAATACATAGAATCCTCCATTTTTCCTATTCAGAAGATGATTATGTACCTGTGTTATGCACCAATGACTACTTAAATGATTATAACAGAAATGAAAATATGAATATATACGTAATCAATCGATTTTAATTTTTCATTTTACCAATTATTTCTCAATGACAAAATATATTATTTAAGTATTCGGTATATATACCGAATATCTACATATTATTCGGCCGAATATAATAAAAGCAGCCGAATAGGCCGAATACCGAATAGTAACCGAATATTCGTTGCAAGTCTACTTTGAACCATGGCATTGTACAATAAATCCCCTCGTGTTGCGCTTGAAGAAGCCTAGCATTTGGGCTGCCTCCTTTACGACCGCGTCAATATGTGATGTAAAATGAAGCTTCCCTTCAATCGTTACATCAAGATCCCTAGTCTCAGAGACCATCTGTAGTGCAGCGATGCTATCATCAATAGCCTTAACTAGTCCACTGCTGGACATAGGCCTCTCCTTTGTTGGTTTTGGCTTACTACACCACGCCGGCCAGACGGGTTGGTATAGGGTTTGTACCTAAATTTTGCTGTTTTTTTTTTAATGGAAGGTGATTTTCTACATTAAGTAGCATGTGGTTAAGACTACACCACTCCTCAACTGTATTTAGATCTTGTTGAGTGAGATTGATATCGTTGAGTGAATTAACAGGCCTGTACAGCTTTAAATCATCCGCAAAAAGGAAACACAACTTTGAATAACAGACCCATTACAATAAGACAGATGGCAGTTCTAAAAAGACATTTACAATGGGCGGCCTTATTGCCGATTAGCATATTTACAACCTTTCAACATCAACCGTTGGGCCTTGCTCCCCAGGCATGATCACCTCACCTAGTCGGAAGATCTTGCCTTTGTTTTGGAGGGACATGAAACAAATTAATATCATCATCAACAGCCTTTAGTAGACCACTGCTGGACATAGGCCTCTCCTTAGAACACGACACACATTTCTCCACAATTTGTGGTCGGCGCAATGTGTAATTCTGCAAAGCCTACTTGACAAGCCTACGTGTCAAGTTTTTCTTCTTTTTGCAGTGCTGTTTGTTCCGCATAGTTTGCTCCTTTAGTCGGCTCTTAGTCGACACCCACGTGATGAATAGGGGTAGTGACATTGACACGGAGGGAATCATAGTTTAGTAAGATAAAAAAAACACGATTTAGGGAATCAAATTATAAAGCAAGTATGAAGTAAATATCCATGATCAGATCAGCTCAGCTCCAAGATGACAAATGATGGTATTGCCATCCAAGCCACATACAAACTACACAATTCAAAATAACTTAAAATTGAGTTATAATATTTTTTTATATAGTAAAGGGTTTTATATAGTTATTTGCAATTTAAACTTGTTAAGTGATCAAAAAAAAAATACGCATAATAATCAATTATTAACAAAATGTAACAATCGATATAATTGTTACTTAAAATAAATTGAAACAAACTATAAAATAAATGATAAATAAGAACCTACCTGTTTTGTGAAGTCGGTTATGAAATAAAATGTTTAATCTACATTGTATAAATTAATAGTGTATAAGTAAGTAATATACAAATGTATAAATTAATAGTAACTTTAAAGTTGTGTAAAGCCTAAAACTTAGAAAAGCAATCAGTGTATCGGTCGTAGCATTTCTTAACGTATTGACAAATCTGCGTAGCAAATATTTAGCTACATCACCTCTACGCGTAGCCATCGTACCAGACAGGCTAGGGGCGGTAGTATCGATGTAGATAACGATCGACTTATAATCGAATTCGGCTTTTAATGATATTTGACACTCTAAGGAGAGAAAGGTGTCATGTCTTCATGAAAAATTTCAAAATTTATGATAACGGCTGTCATTTTTGACCCTTAACTTTTTCTTCTTATAGATATATTACACGTAAATAAGGTATTTTTTAAGGTATACACCTATTATATTTATTATATACCGCCTATTAACATTTGCAACTCAAGAGTCATAAGTACTTTGCCACCCTTTGAGCCACCAACCCCCAAGCCTTAGAATTAGGGTTATTATAAAACAGGGTTGGGAATGTATATACCTATAATCTTGTTCCATGTGGTGACGGATTGAGAATATGGAGTGTCACCACCCCCATTCATCCTGTGGGTGTAGTAAGAGCCAACTAAGGGAGCAAACTACGCAGCACAAAAGCACTGCAAAGAGAAGGAAAACTTGACACAAAAAAAGGAGGAGGAGAAAAAAGAGAAAAAGGACAAAAAGGAGGAGGTTTTGGCCTACTATACCACGCTGGCCAGACGGGCCAGCGTGGTATAGTAGGCCAAAACCTCCTTTCTAAGAAGAGGCTTATCTCCAGCAGTGGACTATTAAAGCTGTTGATGAATGAGGAATCTTGATAGTCACCACGTATTTCCTATACACCTAGTATACACATAAATATATACAAATAATTACTTGCTTCGTATGCGCTGAGGCACCATTTTTCCGATTATGTAAACATGCTTGTTGAACTAGTGGTTAGTGATCCTGGCTGCTGAGCCAAATAAAAATACTTTTTTTTTTTTTTTGTTGTGTGCCAAATATCAGGCTTAATGGCAACATAGTCCTGTTTGTGATAATAGATCGATCCCAATACAACGTGGCCCGATCATTCTCGAGAACTGGGTCGGGCATATACCTGTAGTATGGCACCTCTAAATTTACAAGTTGGTATATGAGGGAAGTAACCAGGATCATACACCAACGTGTATTATCCTGGTTTCTTGGTTATGCCTGTACAAATATTAAATAGAACAACAGAAATCAAGAGAACAACTAGAAATAATATGCCTGATTGATTCCCCAGGACAGTGGCATGCTCGACAGATGTTAACCGTACTATCTTTCAAGATATATTTCTGATAATAGTCGGCATGAGATAACTTCGTCCATAGTCGCACAAACGAAACCTTCAGTTTTTATTATTGCTTTTATTATTAATTTTGCATGCACGGTGTACTGGATACAACAAAGAACATAGTGTATCTTTCATTTAAAAAACAGAAAAGTTACTTTTAAGCAAGCAACGTTGCGGTAAAGTGCTTGTCTCTAATATCTGATAAATAGACGCAAAAAGTAACGCACTTGACTCGTAATACGAGTATTACTTACCACAGACTATTGGCAAAGATGTTAAAAGCTTCGTTAATTCAATAAATGTAGTATCTATGGCAACGACAAAATATCAGGGCGTTGATATCATAAATCTTCTAGCTTTTCTCCAAGGCCAACTAAAGCTTTCTACTAATATTTATGTATGTATGTCTACCTCTTTTTTAATATACGATGTAAATTTTGCGGTTAAATAATTTAAATTATGTTGATTGCAAATAAATTCGGTTGTTAACACGCTTTTATTAGCTTTCTATGTATGTATGTATCTTTCTATGTTTGTATGCATGTATGTATGTAGGCAATGGTCTTCGAACGTGATTTTGACCCACTTCAAAACACTATATAACTTCGCGTAGAAGTCTGTGCAGGCATTTAACACTTTCTCTTTCTCCCTGTGTACGATACCCGAGTTATCCCTAATAGTTGTGATGGCAGATCTGGTTTCGGTACCCCTCATAGCTATTTTTAAAGATTTGTTGTTTTCTAAGGCTACTTCTAGTCATTGTATTGACTCAACCGG